ATTTCTGAAAGTGAGATTCCTGGGGAAAGGATTGAGGAGCTGAGGTGTATGTTGGCATCGAGAATGTGAGTCAGTGTTGAACATTCTCACCCCACTGTCTACTCAGCATAGATTTTATCAGGTTGGGAAAACACAGGTTTTATCTTTTGCAGCATCAGGAGACTTTCAGGTGAAAATAATAAAACTGTCTAGTGAAGGCATGAGAAGTAAAGCAAATAATGCAGATGTGTATTTCTCTGGTGATAACTCCATGCCAGACTCAACTCAATGTTTGGGCTGGAAGATCCCCAGACCAGCCACAAGTACTGGAGTGGAACTGGAGAGAAGGGCTGAGCCCTGAGTCATGCCACAGGAATCATATCATAATGTACTGATCACCAAATGGCAAGAATATGTTTCTCAATTTAAACATTTTTAAAAATATGGTCAAAATAGTCTTAAATGCTTAACCCCGCCCTACACGTCCCACCGTTGGTAGCCGCGCTTTCAGCCTTTCTGCCCCCACCCTTTGGAACTCCATCTCACAGTCCTTTCATCTGGCCCCCTCCCTTGCTTCCTTCAAGGCCCATCTCAAGACCCTCCTCTTCAACCGAGCCTTCGATCATCCTCCTATCCCCACCCTCCCTGCCCTCCACCCCTCCTAATATCAACTCCGAACTTGGGTGCAAATCCTTGACTGTCCAGCGCCTTGGGACATCCTCCCGATATGAAAGGTGCTGTGTAAATGCAACTTGTTGCTGTTAAATTGACAATATGCTTTTATAGCAGCTTGTTTTACCCAGATCTACCAAACTCATTGCAGAAAGTATAAGGAGACCTGAGCAGTGAGGAGAGCTGGGAGAATTTTCAAGTTTTCGATTTCGAGGACTTGTTTGAACAATAAAACATCCTCATTTTGAGGGAGGAAGGAATGTACATTTTTATAGTGACTGTTACATTGAAATGTCTAACAGAGTGTCACAGTCATTACTATCACAGGCAGTGACTGGAGATGAACACAGCAGCTATTTTGCACACAGCAAAGTCCCCAAAAAAACAATCATTGGGTGAATGATCAAATGTTATCTGGAGGAATGTTGGTCAGGACACTGGGAGAAACTCCCTTCTCTTTCTGAACAGCATCAGGGGTTCTTTGTCGACCTCCAAAGCAGGGAAACAGAACCTGAGTTTCAGGTCTAATTTGAAAGATGGCACCTCTGAGAAAGAGGAGGGCCTTAGTATGGCTCTGAAGCATCAGCCTGGACTGGGAGTTCAGTACTGAACCCAAAACTGAGAGAGAGCTACCAAATGAGTTGAGCTAAAATATTTTTAATGTCAGAAATGTCCTTCCCACATATTGATGGTAGTCAGCTGAACTCCGTGGGACTGGTGTGAAGTTTATGTGTACGGATGATTCAAGGGGGAAATTTTAACCTTAAATCATTATGCAGTTAGCAATCATTGCCCCCAAAGTATATGTCAAACCCCATTCAGTGTGCATTGCTCTGAGGTGACAAGGAAGTCACGTGACCACCTATGGAAATTACCACCACAAATAAATTCAGTGTATGATCCACTCATTTTCACTCATTTCAAGTCTAATTTAATGAGGCTGCCAATTATATTGTCTGCCAGAGACTCAGTCAGACAATATAATATTATACAGTGCATGGATTAGTTGGACAAGTGTCTTGCCTTGCTTGGTTATGCTTACTTTCAGCTCTGACTGACAAGGTAGGAACATGTATTTGCGATAAACCACATCCACAGATGCTGCAGATGATTCTATTCACTACGTCACAGCCATAACTACGTAGAGCCAAGTGCTTCACCAATGGAATTTCCACGGACAGAGAAATAAAAGTGGTCTCCGGTGAGAGGTAGCACTTCCACTGACACAACGACACACAGAGACAAGCAGCAGCAGTGAGCAGGTAAGTCACTGAGACTCACGGCTCCTCCAAACGATGGCATTCATTGTTTAAATGAAAGAGGAACTATTCCTTCTCAACTCTTTTAAGTTTTCATGTTGCTGCTCAACTGAGTGCTTCGTATTGGAGTGTGACTCACACAGAGCAGCCGAGATCACTGACAATGATGTTTGAATTTGTTGCAATAAAACCTTCAAAAAAAAATGTGCTCACTCATTCCACGACTGTTTGTGGGACGCTGCTGTGTGCAATTTGGCTGCCGCTTTTGCCCACAAAATACACAGTCAATTCACTTATCTGTGAAGCGCTTTGAGACGTGATAAGACGCTATATCAAATGCGAGAATTATTATTATTATGATGATGATTATTATTAGCATTACTGAGTGGGGTTGGTGCAGCCAGGGAGACAATCTGTGTGTGTGTATATGTGTCCATGCCGAAGGAGTGATGAGTACAGGCACTTAGTCTTGCGGGGTACAGGCACTGATGGTATATTTCTCATCTCTGTATATTATATTATGGTATTATATTAGAATATAGCATAAGGTAGGGTAATAATCCCTACAAAAATAAGGAAATAAATAATATTAAAAAAAAGTAAAAAAATTTGGTCACTCAATCCACGACTGTTTGTGGGACACTCACTTCTGTGTGCAATTGGCAGCTGCGATTTGCCCACAAAATATACAGTGAATCCACTATGATGCGCTTTTAGACGTCTCAACGATGTGATCAGGGCGAAACCTTGGGCAAGTTTCCTTACGCCACACACATAATAATAATCCCTCCAAAAACAAAAACAATAATAAATTTATCATTTTCAATCCACGACTGTGTGTGGGACGCTGCTGTGCGCAATTCGCTGCCGCGTTTCGACCACAAATATACGGTCAATTCACTTTACAGTCTATTCTGTGAAGCGCTTTGAGACATCTAGAACGTCTAGACGTCTCCACGCTGTGGAGTCCTGTAGCTCAGCGGTTAGAGCACTCGCTTTGCAAGTGAGAGACCTGAGTTCAATTCCAGGCAGAGGGTGAAACCTTGGGCAAGTTTCCTTACTCCACACAGAGCCTAATAATAATCCCTCCAAAACCAAAAACAATAATAAATTGGTCATTTTCAATCTACAACTGTTTGTGGGACATTGCTGTGCACAATTGGCTGCCGCGTTCGCCCACAAATATACAGTCAATTCACTTTACAGTGTGTTCTGTGAAGCGCTTTGGGACGTCCTCCTGACGTGAAAAGCGCTATATCAACTGCAAGGATTATTATTATTATAGAAGACGTGAAAAGCGCTATATCAAATGCCAGGATTATTGTTCATATTAATATTACTCTGTGCAGTGGGTATAAGCAGAAGAAGGGGTGGTATTTACTTGGAGAGATGGATACTGGCGCAATGGTATATTTGTAGTCAATGCAGAGAGCACTTCTGTATTCAGTGCAGTAGTTGAAGGCAATGAGGATACATTGACAGTTGTTAGAGTGTGGATAGACAGAGACAATGTGTACTCAGAGTCGTGGCGACACGGCAGCATGGTAATAATAATAATCCTTGCATTTGAAATAGCACCTTTTCACGTCGTTGATACAAATCAAAGCGCTTCACGGGATATACTGTAAAGTGTTGTGGCTGTGTATTTTGTGGACAAATCACGGCAGACAATCATATACAGCAGTGTCTCACAAGCATTCGTGGATTAAGTGACCAAATTCTTATCATTATTCTGTCGGAGGGATTATTACCGCCTAGTAATGAGTTGTAATAATAATAAATATAGCTAGAGGCCAGTTTTGCCATCTCCTTCCTTTAATTATACTCCACTTGAATATTTAGTGCAAGCTGTGAACAAATCGCACTCACAGTTATTACAGCATGCCTCGCTGCTCTTTCAGATGGAATAATTTTCACTGGCAGCACAGATAAAGATCATTAAACTTCTGCTGCAAGCTGTGGGCAGCATTTGTGAGAGCCTGATATCTGACGATCTTTCAATTACTTTACATCCAAGGTTCTTAATCTCTTGCGGTGAGGTACGTTGGCTTTGAGAGCCAGTGCTAGTGCCTGTGAGAAGCTAATCATTTTCCAACCAGCAGAATCCGAGATGCACTTTATTCTACATGAGAGCCTGATATCTGACGATCTTTCAATTACTTTACATCCAAGGTTCTTAATCTCTTGCGGTGAGGTACGTTGGCTTTGAGAGCCAGTGCTAGTGCCTGTGAGAAGCTAATCATTTTCCAACCAGCAGAATCCGAGATGCACTTTATTCTACATGAAGGGCGCTAAACTATGTAAATGCAAATTGTTGTTCACAAATTCCTGCCAAGTGAAGAGATTGTGTTTTGTCTGAGAATATTTTGTACCCACAAAATACACAGTCACTGCACTTTACAGTATATCCTGTGAAACATAGAAACAGGAGTATGTCATTCTGCCCCTCGAGCCTTTGAAGCGCTTCGAGGCGTCTCGAAGATGCAAGGATTATTATGGAATGGCACATAGATGTAACAATAAATCATCGGAGGGCCATGAGTGGCAGGTGTTTCATGAGGAGATGATTAAACAGTAGGTAGTGCAGCAAAGACCACAGAAGCAGCCAGTGCTGTAGATTCATCCCGTTACCTCTCCGCACTTTTCTGTGTGTGCGTGTATGACTTGCCCCACCATGAGAGAACAGACAAACCTGCCTCACTTGCCTAAAGGGGCCCGAGATCTGACTGTGACCAAAACAGGTTTCAGTTGAAATCAAAATGTCACCAACGCCCCCGTTCCTTAAGCGCTTTCAATTGTCTTTCTTGACTCTAACGTAGTTCGATTCCTTGGAAAACATCTACGGGGTGAAAAGAAAAAGAGGGGGATTGAAAGATTCAATAAAATGACTGTGCTCTCCCTTGTTACGAAGGCTGCTGATCGTCAGGGCTGTGTAATGTGGTCAAACTTGCTATCTATATAATGGTAGACTTTGATGAGCAATAGATAACCAAGAATCTGAGACATTCCAATGCCATAAATGTCAAACATCAAGATTTTGCATTTTTAAACCACAACTGTGTTTTCTCTCTCATTTCTCAGCATCAAACTATGGACAACGCATCCCATTCTCAATTTCCAAACGTCTCAGAAAGTGGCAATGTTTCCGTGCCATCAGCAACCCCAAAATGCATTATCCGTGATCACTTCCTCTCCACTGTCCTGCCCATCATTTACTCCCTGATCTGTGTGGTTGGCCTGGCTAGCAACTCGCTGGCCTTGTGGGTCTTCTTCAGGATTCAGAGGAAGCCCACCTCCATCTCCGTGTACATGAAGAACCTGGCCATTGCTGACCTCCTGCTGTGCCTCTGCCTTCCCTTCAGGATTGCCTACCACATTGGGGAGTACAAGTGGATGGTAAAATGCTACTTCTGTAAGATCATTGGGGCTTCGTTCTACAGTTCCATGTACATCAGCATTCTGTTCCTCGGGCTGATTAGCCTGGATCGCTACCTGAAGATCACAAAGCCACTCAAACAGTTCCGGATCCACACTGTGCCCTGGAGCTCAGCTGTCTCCAAGTTCGTGTGGGTTGGCGTCCTCGCCTGTATGCTCCCCTTTGTAATCAGTAGCTTCAACAGCTCAACCCAAGAAAAATGCTTCCACTATAAAGAGCAGACCATGACAAGTGGTCTGATGAACCTAGTAGCCATAGCCATTATTTACATCCTCTCCTTGCTATTCCTGGTGTCCTATGCCAAGATTTCAATAAAGCTCTACAACATCTCCCAAGGGAAAGCCAAGCAGCAGATTAAGAAAGTGAGCACCAGAGCCATCATGAAAACCTTCATTGTCCTGGCCATCTACATGGTCTGTTTCATGCCGTATCACATTGTCCGAGTGCCATACGTTCTCTCCCAGATCAAGGTCATCAGCAGTTGTGAGTGGAAACAAACCCTGCACATCGCCAATGAATTGGTCTTGTGTCTCTCTGCCCTAAACAGCTGCCTGGATCCAATCATCTACTTTTTCCTCTCCAACTCTTTCCGAAGGGCAGTGTTCCATACCATCCAAGGCAGGTTGAACAAGACCTTCCCCAAACCCAATCTGCTCAGGAACAGTTTCAAATCCATCACTGAGATCTGAGGTCCAACTGCCGAAGATATCAGATTGATGGAACAGGAATGTTGTGGGACATCCATTCAGGAAACAACCCAGCCCAATGCCAATGTATTGGCTGGTGGCATTTTGGAGTAATGTACCCAGGTAGAGCCTGGCCGTGCAGAAGGTACGTTTGGCACATTTGCAAGAAAAGCCCCTTATGTGAGCATGTCAGTGGGTCATCGTGGGGACTCCCAGGGATTTAGCTACGTTACACCTAATAGACCGACATTCTAGTGGTAGCTGTATTGAGGCCCTGTGCCAGGAAACGGTTTGAGACGGAAAAAGTGTTACTCAAAAGCAAGTTGTTGTTGAACGATTGAGAGTTAATGTCTATTTTTTGGAGGAAAAAAAACCACCCAAGACTAACAGTGTTTTACAAAGACATTGAACTGCAATAAATGAAATTAATCCAAGCAACAAGACCTGGTCGGTATAACACCGACAATTACGATGAGGCGTTTTCGTCTGCAGAGAGATATACTGCCCCATTGTGGTGGCTCAATGTTGGTTGCGAGAGGCTAACAAATGCCCCTTCTCCAACTAGCGGGGACCTTACAATAGGTCAGGGACGAAATGTGTGAGTGACTTGTGCTCCCCTGCTTTTGGCTGTACGGGAATAAGGCCAAAGCGAAAATGACACACTTCGTAGGAGTAAAACGCACGCGACGTTTTGAGTTGTGAACACTCTCGTCTGTGTGTGGAGTGACTGTGATACAAGAAATAAGGAACTTTGAAGAAATGGCACAGATTTGAGATCGGGCTGACCATCCGATGACTGATTGCCTGAGCAATCAGCAACTTCGCTGCGGATTCAGTTTGCGATGGATGGAATAGGAGGGAATCTGTGTGCATGATGCTGAGCTCTGTGCTGCACTGTGCTTTTCCGGGGATAATAATCCTTTCAAAAATAAAATAAAAATAATTTGGATACTCAATCCACGACTGTTTGTGGGTCGCTGCTGTGCGCAATTGGCTGCTGAGTTTCGCTCACAAAATATACAATCAATTCACTTTACAGTATATTCTGTGAAGCGCTTTGAGACGTCTCAACGAAGTGACAAGGTGCCATATCAAATGCGAGGATTATTATTATTATCATCATCCTGTACAAATATCAGAACAGATCTCACCGTCCTTTTGCGGATTGAAAAATAAGTATCTTGCACGCAAAAGCCACAGTGGGTTTCTAAAACCCTATTACGATTGCTTTTGAAGGGGGTTCTGTTAGACCTGACTTTACTGAGATCACTGCAGTGTGTAACCACAAATAGAAACTGCAAATTAGCTTAAACAATGTGCAATTTCTTACCAGCACTTTAGAATGTAATTTATTGTAAGATCAAAGCTGTATTTCAATATATTATTTGCTTTCTACATTGTGTCTGAATCTTTTTTTTGGACCTTGAGAAATATTTCTTTCCTTCAAATTCTTGTGTAGCAATTTTAGTATTAAACCTTAGTGTGTCCGGCAAGCTTTCCTGCTGCTTGTCCAGCTAGGACCACCCTACCTGTTAGGGCTTTGGCTTGCAAGGTTAACAGGAGCTGAGTGCGAGGATTCCCTACCCCCAGTGACTTGTCTGTCTTTCCAAGTCCGGCCAATGATCCAGGCTGGCTGTGAATCATAGAATTATACAGCTGGACCCCTGAATCTTAGTGTTAAGTATTAAAGCAACCTCCCAGCTCAAAGTTTGACAAATAGTCTCAAATAAGTGAATGTGTATTTCCTGCAACAGCGCTCCCACCACTCATCACATTGCGTCCCTATATTCCCCACAGTGTGTCCTGCTAATCACAGCGCCAGTGCCTGACTGTCTTGCATCGTTCTGCTGAGTACCAGTGCAAGCCAGGACATTCAGGGGCTAGAGCAAATTGCCTAGCCTGTGGTTTGCAACATTATGGGATTGTCTGTGGTCAGTCCGAGGTACGTACAAATGACAACAAGGCACATGTGCTTGCTTGTTCTGATTTATACACTGGCTCACACCAGTCTCTGATCCTAACCGCAACATTATCACCTACAGTGAGGTCTAACAGGAGATGCTAACGCAGTACACATCAATCCATTGCAAAGATGCGACAGGGAGCAGGACAGATCTCAGCTCTGGGCCCGAAGGCCTCTCCCGGTGAGCACCAGCCCGGCCAGTGACAGACACGTGGTGAGGCCCAGCAGCAGCAGGAAACCCGGCACAGAGGGCAAGTGCCTCTCCCACAAAGTGGGGCTGAAGGGGCGGCTCGGAACCTCCTGCAGAAAAAATAAACGGCACGTTTTAGTACTTTTCATTTTTGAAGGTATATTTTAAAACGTATTTAAGTATATTTTGCCCACAAAATACACCGTCAATTCACCTTACAACAACAACAACTTGTATTTGTATAGCGCCCCCTCACACAGGGTAGCGTCCCAGGGCACTATAGTATAATCACAGTTCCAGCGCTTGGGATGTCTTCCTGATGTGAAAGGTGCTGCACAAAAGTCATTTTATGTCATTGTAATTTTGATTATTGTAATATACTTAACAGTACTTTCTGTGCAGCGCTTTGAGATATCTCAACGACGTGATAAGGCTCTAAATCAAATGCAAGGACTATTATTATTAATACTTCCTGTTCCACAATATATCCTGAAGCTCTGTGAGTCGTTGGCTGCTTACATACCAGGAAACACATCTCCATCCTCTTTATAATACTGTTAGAACAGTAGGTGCTTCTCCCATAATGTGGAAGAATAGTATTACAGACCTGAGCCCTATCATAACTCAATTATATGAATTAAATGTACTGCTCTGTGACAATTCTTTGTGTTAAACACCTGACTCTCATTACAATACGCTCAATTCTAACTGTGTTACATACCTGAGCTCCATTAGAATTCTGATATATCTTTCTCTCTATTACACCCACCTAATGATACAGTGTCACAGGGTAAATATCATCTCTTTCTATGTGAATAAAGGCTGGATGAATATTACAAACAGACTGCATTTATAATAATACAGTATTTGATGCAAGTGTCTATTTGGCTACAAGGTTCTGCTCAGAGTAAATCATAAACAAACCCACTAAACTTTCAGTCAACGCAGATAACAGCAGGATTCTGTGCAGTTTAGTACTGTACCGCTGCCTTGGAGTCCTCTGAACTCCTCTCCCTCTGGCCTTCAACCCTCACCGACCCCTCTTCTGCTCTCACCCTCCTCCACAACACCCTCTCCTCCACACTTGACACTCTTGCCCCTATCACCTCCCGTACTGTCTCCTACTCTCGCTCCTCCCCGTGGTTCACCACCCACCTCCGCTCACTGAAGAGCCAGGTGCGGGCCGCTGAACGCACCTGGGTCAAATCTGGTCTAATGGTCCACCGACAAATCTGGCTGGACCTCCTCAAAATCTACCGCTCCACTCTAGCCTCGGCCAAATCGTCCTTCTACTCCAGGATAATCCTGGAGGCGAAGGACAACCCCAGGCTACTGTTCTCTACCACATCCCAACTCCTCCGTCCCCCCCGCCACCCCGCGCAGGTCATCTCCTCCAACCTTCACTGCGAGGAGATGCTGGATTTCCTTGAATCCAAAATCAAGGGAATTCGCTCCGCGGTCACTTCCCCTCCAACATCCACCCACCCCCACCCCTTCCCTCCCACACTCCGACTCCTACCCATCCTCCCCTACACACCTTCGTACCCGTTTCCCCACCCTCTGTCACCAAACTCATCCTATCCCTGAAACCCACCACCTGCTCCCTTGACCCCATCCCCACTCCACTCCTTATCTCCCAGCTCCACCTCCTTGCCCCACATATCACAGACATCGTCAACCTGTCCCTCTCCTCTGGCTCTGTTCCCATTCCCTTAAAAACTGCCACCATCACTCCCACCTTAAAAAAACCCTCCCTTGATGGTCGCAGCTATCAAGCTACCGGCCCATCTCCAACCTCCCCTTCCTGTCCAAGGTCCTGGAAGGAGTTGTCGCCTCCCAGCTGCGCTCTTTCCTCTCCAACCATTCACTATTCGAACCCCTTCAGTCGGGTTTCCGTGCTGCCCATAGCACAGAAACTGCCCTGGTCAAGGTCACCAATGACATCCTGACCATCTGTGACCAGGGCTCCCTCTGCCTCCTCGTCCTCCTCGACCTATCGGCAGCATTCGATACGGTCGACCACGCTATCCTCCTCCACCGCTTGTCCTCCCACCTAAACCTTCAGTTCCTGTCCTTGAGTGGTTTAGGTCGTACCTCTCCCACTGTCTTCACTTTGTCTCCACAAATGGTTTATCCTCCACCCCCCGCACTGTCTCGTGTGGTGTCCCTCAGGGCTCTGTCCTCGGTCCCCTCCTCTTCACCCTCTATATGCTCCCCCTGTGGTGACATCATCCGCAGACATGGGGTTAACTTCCACATGTATGCGGATGACACCCAACTCTACCTTTCCTCCTCTACCCTCAACTCCACGACCCCCGATGTCCTGACAGCTGCCTGTCCGACATCGAGTCCTGGACGAGAGACAACTTTCTTCAGCTCAACGTGCGCAAAACTGAGGCCCTCCTGATTGGCTCACGTCAGCGCCTCCGCACCTCAGGCGCTGACAGCATCAGCATCCAAGGCTGCACTCTCCACCTCTCAAAGCCATCAGGAACCTCGGGGTTTTGTTCGACCCTGAGCTGTCCTTTCTCCCTCATATCCGCACCACAACTGGCACCGCCTTCCATCACCTCCGGAATGTCGCCAGACTACGGCACTACCTCACCCCTCACGCGGCTGAAATCCTGGTCCACGCCTTTATCACCTCAAGGCTGGACTATGGGAACTCTCTCCTCGCCGGCCTTCCCGGCCCTCCCTCCACACTGCAGGTCATTCAGAACTCTGCAGCTCGTGTACTGTCCCGCACCAGTGACCACATCACTCCCACCCTCGCCCTCACCCTCACCCTCGCCCTCGCTCGCCTCCACTGGCTCCCCATCCCCCAGAGGATCGAATTCAAGATCCTCACCCTCACCTACAAGGCCATTCACGGCCTTGCTCCCTCCTACCTCTCTGACCTACTATCCCCCCACCTACCTGCCCGTACCCTCCGTTCCTCTGGCTCCGGTCTGCTCCACATCCCCCGCCCCAACCGCCCTACCATCGGTGGCCTTCAGCCTCTCAGCCCCGAGGCTCTGGAACTCCATCCCCCAGTGCCTTCGCCGCTTCCTCCCTTTCCTCCTTCAAGGCCGGTCTCAAGACCTTTCTCTTTGACCGTGCCTTCAGCTCCCCTCTTGACTCTCTACCCCCTCCTCGCTCCCTCCCTTCCCTCCCCTCACCCTGACCATTTCCCCCCTGCTCGGGTCCTGACCCAACTGTACAGCGCCTTGGGACGTCCTCCCGATGTGAAAGGCGCTCAATAAATGGAATCTTGTTGTTGTTGTTGTTGTTGTTGTTGTACCACCTTACCTGAACTTCAGGTTCTTCCACCCAGATTTCTGTGGCTGGGATCATCCCCATGGCACACATCACCTACAGAATAGACAGCTTAACGTCAATGGCAATGAACATTTCACATTAGGATAACTAACACACACTGGCGTATGGGCACGCACACACACGCGCGCAAAGGCCCATGTGCACACACACACACACATACAAAAAGGCAAACATGCACCCACACACACGCACAGATAGAGGATTTATTTGTTGCTGTGGGCAGGCAGACCTGGTCTTTATCATTTGCCCACAAAATATATAGTCAATTCACTTTACAGTGTATTCTGTGAACGTCTTTGAGACATCTCGAAAACATTTTAAGGTGCTATATCGCATTGTTATTTGAACGGATTAGTAACCCCGGAAAGTGATCACCAATCGACAAACAACCGGGTTCCCACTTACTATTAGGTAAACAGAGGTGTGTGGAGTAAGGTTTCCTACGTTGCCTAAGGTTTCGCCCTGCCCAGGAATCGATCCCGGATTCTCTCGCTCTCGAGGCGAGCACGCTAACCACTGACATATAAGTCATATGCTACAGGACTATCAGAATAGACACAAGCACTTACCTCTCTAGCTGCACGTTCCCCAGCTTCCACCGCTCCGTCCATGTACCCACTCCACTTGGAGGCCGTCTCAGTCCCAGCAAAGTACAGACGTCCAAATGGCTTCCGCAGAACTCTGGATGGACATGGGAACAAGCAGTGAAACAAACAACACTGGGACTCGGGGGTGACATCAGTTGTAAATGTTACGAAAATATATTTCGAAGGAAAAAAGTCATAAGTTTCAACTTGGCTTGTAAGAACTTTCTCAATGTGATTTTTTTTTTGGGGGGGGGAGGAAAGTTTATGCAGGGTGTGAGGAAAGCAAGGTGTGAGAGTTCCCAGTCTCAACACTGAGACGTTGGACTAGAGCAGAGCAGAGTGTTTCTATACCCAGAGTGAAGAGTAGCTAGGATCAGAATGGAAAGAATAGGAAGTTAAGTTATGATTTCTTATTGAAACATTCTGGGAGCTCCTATCTCCAGCTTGTCCCAACATCATGGGATAACAGTCAAGATGGTGGTCAGAGAGCAATAAAGAGTGGACCCAGAGGATACCCAACAACTTTAGGAGACATTTTTTTTTGCTGCTATTCCCTCCACCTGACTGAGACCAATGAGTCTGCTTGGGGTACGGTTCCACAGGCAGCCGTCAATCACCTCATCCAAGTGTCCATTCTCCCCATGAGAGTCATCCGTGAATAGAGGCAAGCTATTGTGGAGATCAGAGTCAAGCCCGTTCCTGCCATCACCCGAGTTCCAACCTTTGCACCTGGCTCACTGGTTAATAATCAGGAACAGAATCCATGATTGATTTCCCCTTCCCCGGCCCAGAGACACTGAGGCCAACTGTAGCCTTCCCACCACTGGACTGTGGTGGTTGACTCAACTCATGACAGGGATCAAATCTGGGTCATTCATGAAAGCACAGTCAAAGTGTAAGTAAACATTTGCATAAATAAACAGCGCCTTTCACATGGGGTAGCGGCTTGGAGCGATTAAAAGTGGCGGAGCCCGATGCCGAGCCGGGGGGAGGGAGGAGGTGACCGTAGGCACGGTCAAAGACGAAGGTCTTCAGTCGTGATCTGAAAGAGGGGAAGGAGGGAGCAAGGCGGAGGGATTGGGGGAGAATTCCAAAAGACTCAGGGCTTCTGTGCTAAACAGATCTCCACCACAATAAGTCCTTATTAAATTTAACGTTAAAACCTAAATTCTGTTGGAAATATTGAGTATACAGGACTGTCACCCATGGAATAAATTAATATGCTACTCCCAGCTTAGAGTTTTTCTGTGACCCACTTATTTATGGCCAATTATACAAGGCAACCTCACACACAATTTATCACATACCCTCTAAGCTCCTTGATGTATGTTGACACGTCCCTCTTTGTACAGGAGATTGACTTCAATTTTGAATCAATATGTTGTATTTTGTGTTTCGCCGCTTTACCCGCAATATTGCAGTGATAACTGATGCCCTACAGTTGTCCCTGACGAGCTGGGGTAGGCAGCAGAGCAATCCGTATACAGTGCGACTGAAACGAGTGGATCCGTTTGTGTGGTTTTTTTTGCAAAATACTCCACGAGGAATGAACCAAAACTCAAAACAGCCGATGAACCCTCACTAAACAGGAGAGCGATGCATCAGATCACTGGTGCTCTGAGCAGCTTCCCACAACACTCAGAGCCAGCTCCTAGAAACAGCTTCAGGGGGAAGCCTTGTGCCTGGGACTGCCTGTATAAAGGTTGCTGAAGATAATGACAGGTTATTGCTGAGCATGGCTTGCTGTTACAGTATCTGTGGCGAAGTAATGATATTTCCCATCATAAGCACACCATGACAATTAGGCTGTAGCTGGTGAAAGCTCATTCCCCAAACTAATTAGCCACCCCTTGTTGTGACTGAGGGGATGAATGCTGTTTTGTAGCTGTCCTTGATCCAGTCTGTGTACATGCACAGCACTGTGTGATGCACCAGCAAAAACGGTCAGTTAGCAGCATTTTACAGAGGTATAAATAGAAATAAAGGGATTCCATGGGTTTCTCAGGCTGGTCTGGCTTCAGACTCTTGTACGAGTGTCAGAATTTACATTCCTCCCCAGCAATACTGAGATCTGCAGTGTATATACTGTATATAGCAGTGAACTGCTTGTTGCTAAAGTTTCCTAGAACAGCATCACCTGGTGTGCAGACCGAGCAATCACCTCTAAAGCACTGCTTATTGAGGCAACTGCGAAAGGCGTTAAAGGTCGTAATACCGAAGTGTTCTTGGTTAGAAAGGCAGCCTCTGACTTCTCCTTGATGCTATAAAGAGACAAAGATTATAATCCTCCTCCCCCCAACACCCCCATTATTGTCAGCCCAGTGTAAACCCCAATCGGTGGCAGCCATGTTAACAAAACAGGGATAGAAAGGAAATCTTGTGCATCAAGACAACAACTGAACCTCAAGTGACCTTGAAGCAAATATTTACACATACACACCTGCCAAACTGAACGAATGTGCCAGGCGGGAAGTATGCAGTGTAGCATCCGCCAGAGTAAGGCTCCTCACACCAATCCTTCTCCTCATAGTGCACAGCCTGGCCCCAGGGAAGGATTTTCACAGAATATTACAACAACATATTACATTTGTATACCTTTCACGTTGGGATGTCGTCCCAAGGGACTGATTACAATATTTAAGCATCAGGCACAGGAAACAGGACTTCCCCACAAATCAACTAGTCATTATTTCTCGAAAATCTTACAACAACTCCTCTCCCTTCAAGCGTTTAGGCAATGGCAATTGAACGAGTTGCTTAAATTGAATTGGACACATCTGGACACCCCTTCCCCTCCCTTTCCACCCCCATTGCCTCCCTTCGCCCCCTCACCCACCCTACCACCCCAAGCCTGGGGCACGAAGCGCTGCTTGTGTGGCACCAAAGGTCACCTCTCATTGACACACCCTTCATCACAACCCCCACCCCCCAACAATCGGTCTCTCGCTTACGTGCAAAGCCTCTTCAGTTTGCAGCACCCGGGCATAAACCTGGCAGATTTGTTTCTTCCTGTAAAACCAAGGCAGGTTTAGGTCAGCTAGGCCAGCATGCAGTTTGGTTGACATTGCATCACACAGCTGCCCTGATGGGTAATGGTGCTGCCTCGTGCAGACTGGGCCATACAGACCAGACGGTTCCTATCCTGGTCTACACAGAGTTACTTCAATCTCAGTCATGGTACTACGTGGCTTGTGGGTTAGGGATGAGTGAGAGGAATGGGAATCAGCTCCTGATTGCTGGCCAGTGAATGCTGGATTGTGAACCAAATCTTTAAGTAAATCTAGCCTAAGAGGACACAGGTTTAGAGTTCTAAAGGGCTATTTCAAGACAGACAACAGGAAGTTTTTCTTTACCCAGAGGGTCACAAATATATACAGTCAATTCACTTTACAGTCTATTCTGTGAAGCGCTTTGAGACGTCGAGAAGACGTGAAAAGCGCTATATCAAATGCAAGGATTATTATTGTTAACGACTGGAATAGATTACCAGGAAGGGTTGAGGATAGGACATTGAGACTCAATTAAAAACATGTTGATGCTGTGATGGGGGCACAGTAGAGTGGATATCCTGGAACGATAATGATAATCCAAAATAATCTTGTGATCCAGTACTATCTTCTTTAGGAAAACGTATTCAATGAGAGGGACGGGCGGCATATTGTTCTTTCACCTCTGTGGCCTGAGTTCCACACCACAATAATAGGGTGAAGTAGTCGAGGGAGCTTTATTCTGTACCCTGTCTGTGTTATAGCTGACCTGAGAATACTTAGAATACTGAGACGACACCCACCTCTATCTCTCTGTCTCCAACCCTCGACTCTAAGACCACTGCTGTCCTGATAGAATGTCTGTCAGACATCAAGTCCTGGATAAGAGCTAACTTTCTACAGTTGAACATGTTTCTTTTCTTGAGAGATTATCATCAGGCGTGTGGAGTAAGGAAACTTGCCCCAGATTTTGCCCTGCTGGGAATCGAACCCAGGTCTCCCACTTGCCAGACGAGGCCCTCCTGATTGGCTCCCGTGAACGCCTCCACACCTCAGGCACTGACAGCGTCACCATCCATAGATGCACACTCTACCTTACTAAGCCAGTCTGGAACCTGGGTGTCTTGTTTCACCCTCAACTGTCCTTTCTACCCCACATCCGTGCCATGACCTGCTATGCCTTCTCCCAGCTCTGCAGCATCGCCCGGCTCTGCCACTATCTCACATCAATAGCTGTTGAAACCTTCATTCACGTATTCATTACATCCAGGCTCAACTATGCAAACTCCCTGCTTGTCGGCCTCTCCAACTCCTCCCTCCATAGGAACATAGAAAGAAACATAGGAACATGAGGAGGCCATTCAGCCCTTCGAGCCTGTTCTGCCATCTAATTAGATCATGGCTGATCTGTACCTCAACCAATCCTTTCAATTACAATTTCCAGCTTTCTCCCATATACCTTACTATCCCATAGGCTACAGTTCACCCAGAACTCTGCAGCCCATATTCTCTCTCACACTAGGCTCCCCGACCCCATCACCTACCCCCTCGCCCGACTCCACTGGCTTCCCATCACACAGAGGACACAGTTCAAGATCCTGGTCCTCCACTCCAAAGCCCTCTATGGTCTTGCTCTTCCCTACCTCTGCGACCTCCTAACTCCCTACCAACCTGCACGCTCCCTCCGCTCAGCGGGCTCCGGCCTGCTTCATGTCCCCCACCTCGCCCGCCCCACCAATAGTGGGTGGGCCTTCTGCCACTCTGCCCCCGCCCTCTAGAACTCCATTCCTGTAGCTCAGTGGTTAGAGCACTTGCCTAGCAAGTGAGACACCTGGGTTCGATTCTTGGCAAGACAAAACCTTGGGCAAGTTTCCTTACTCCACACGCCTGATAATAATCCCTCAAGAAAAAAAACAATAAATTGTTCACTCCAATCCACTACTGTTTGTGGGACACTGCTGTGCGCAATTGGCTTCCAAGTTTCGCTGACAAATAGACATCAATTCACTTTATAGGATATTCTGTGAAGCGCTTTGAGACGTCTTGAAGATGTGAAGAATGCTATATCAAATGCAAGGATTATTATTATTCCACAGTCCCTCCACCTCACCCCCTCCCTTGCCTCCTTCAAGTCCTATCTCAGGAGTCTCCTCTTCAACCGTGCCTTTTGTCACCCTCCTGCCCCCACTGCCCTCCACGCTCCCCGATCCTGACCCCCAGCTCGGGTCCGAAACATTGATTGGCCAGCGCCTTGGGACATCCTCCCGACATGAAAGGCGCTATACAAATGTAATTTTGTTGTTGTTATTGTCAATGGTGCTCAAAATAGAAAGTACTCTGTTCTCCAGTACTATCATCTATCAACTTGAGTGCATCCTTTGGGGGAAATAAAACACTGAAAACTGCAGCAAAGCAGTAAATGTTAAAGGTCCAGATAAATTGGTTATTCAATCTATAGTAGTTTATGGGAACTCGCTGTACACAAAGTAGCTTCTGCGATTGCTAACAAATACTTAAGACTTGTCTTGCTAACAAATACATAATCACTTGACAGCTATTACCTTTGAGCCGCCTTATCAAATGCAGTGATTATTACTATATTATTATGAATAAACATTTATGTAGCGGATGAAATTGCACATAGGACCTGCAGGGCACCATTATCATAAGTGTAGTCTAATTTGCAGTATTTCTTACCCAGATTTCTTAATTAAAATATCTACCAGCAGCAATCTTCTGGTAACTGGAGATTGTCGCATTAATATAGGGAATCCTAAAAACAGAGCGCGTTGGAGCAATATTCCTGATTTTGTGTCACTTATTCATGCACCTCTGGATTGCTGAATCCCATTAAGAAATACGGGGGGGAAACAAATCACCCCAAGGCTTGGCTTCCTTAAAAGCCATTTGAAAAAATGCTGGATCATAAAACTCTGACAGTGTCTTGCTTTGCGCAATTGGCCCACAATTCATTTTACAGTATATTCTGTGATGCACGTTGAGACGTCTCAATGATGTGATTAGGCGCTGTATCAAATGCAAGGATTATTATTATTATTATTAAGAGGTGTTGCATTTCAAACATCCACAGAACAGTCACCCCGAGAGGCACAGAATGATCACCATGATAGACCTAGGATGCTGAGCACCACACCCACCTCTCTGCTTTGCTGAGACTGGTTAAGTGTCGGGCTTTTCGGGCCAGGATAAACCTACACAATAAAAGGAGCAGAATATGATTAACAGGAAGGTACTGATTCCTGAGGAAAAAAATCCAACTGGTTCAATACCCACAAACATTACAGTATAAAACTCCAGCTATAAATTTGATTGACTCCACAGCGAATACCAAAGAAGAATATAGTACAATTGCCATCCGATGGTTCTTAGCAGTGACAAGTTGTTCCATCTGCTCTCCACTCTCCAAACCGTGTCTCAGTAGATCCTAGTTTGGTTTAAAGGACAATACATCATCGCAATCTAATGGCTTCTCAGTGACTTATGCATTGATCCAAATCGCTGTCCAACTTGTGGGACTCTGAATCAGGGAGTGTGCTGCCGGCCAATCGCCACTTGGTGACGCTCTCACACATGATCAAAAAGACAAGCGGAAGGGACAATAACTCTTGTTGTTGAGTCCAGTTGAAGTATTTCATGCATCTCGGAATAAAACAAGTATGAGTCGATTGTCTACCGTTAGGAGAGAGAAAGCCTTTTGCCTCTCCGTGGCCTGAAATTTCACCTGCTCTTGCTCTGTGTGTGACACCATTTTGTCTTTGGTCATTCAATCCACACCACAGCTGTATCAAATGCAAGGATTATTGCCGGACACTGCTGTGCTCAATTGGCTGCCGCGTTTCGCCCACAAAATATACAGTCAATTCACTTTACAGTACGTTTTGTGAGGCGTTTTGAGACGTCCCAAAGACGTGATAAGGCGCTATATCAAATGCAAGGATTATTACTATAAAAACTGTTAATCTTTAAACTACAGTAAATATCGCTATTTACTCTTGTTTTTATTGAGTATGTGTGAGACGTCACCTGGCGGTTATCGACCCCTGGTCTAAGGCATGGATTGAGCCAAGAGTCAAGAGCAGGGCCATCCTCTGAAGATTGGATATTCCAATGGTATTAACCTAATGCAAAATATCTGTGTTGTGCACTTATTCAGCTCTGATGTTCCATACCCGATGATCGCAGGGTATGATCCATCGGGCTTGGTGTCATCCAGTGTTATGGTTACAGGTGAGTCCTCGTCCTCAATGATCATGGTGCCACAGTACCCTGAAACAGAAGGACATTGAGTGTGGCAACCGCTTCACGAAGGCGAAAAGTCAGAGGATCTGTTTCAGGCTGACCAACAGCTCGCCATATGTTTTGCTAAATTGAACACGTCAAAGAACAACTTTATTGGTGCTCATCAAGGAGAAAGAGACTGAATGCCCAACAATCAAACACTTTCCCACTTTAATACCCAGTAATAGCTTAAAGCCCTCACAGGTCAGGTGTAATACAAAGCCGTTAATACTGTAATATAATAATAATAATCCTTGCATTTGACGGAATTGAGATGACTGAAAGTGCTTCACAGAATATATTGTGAAGTGGATTGACTGTGTATTTTGTGACAAAAATGCAGCAGGGAATTGCGCATAGCAGTGTCCCACAAACAATCGTGGATTGAGTGACTTTTTTTGAGGGATTATTACAACAGGAAAGCAATCAACAAACAACCATGTTCCTACTTACTGCTCGGTAAACAGAGGCACATAGAGTGAGGAAACTTACCTAAGGTTTTGCTTTGCCCTGGGAATCAAATCCGGGTCCTCTCGCTTGCAGCTAACCAATGCGCAACAGGCCTGTACTGTACTTCTAGTCTAATGAGCCACTAATTCATTTCTCGTGTCACTGTTTCATTTGGATCATGCAAAGAATTATTATTATTATTAACCCTTGCAGAAACAAACAGGAGGTAGGAATAAGTAGAAGGAGCCATAGTTTGATAGTCCAAATAAGCTTTCCCATTCTACACTTTCCTGTTCGATTGTTAGCTCCCATGGATTATACATCTTCTATAGAGTAGTGACACTTTACACTAAATAATTGCACTGACAGACCTTGAGCAAGCTTCTGTCTGTGTGTCCCTAATGAGTACTCAATACTGTAACTCTACACTGACAACATTGACCGGTCTGGTCAATGAGGTTGTATATATACGTGTATGTAAGTGTCAGGACAATCTGTCATTTCAGACCTTTCTCTCTCCAGAAGCAGCGGCTGTAAAACATGATACACTTGATGACCGATCCCATTGGCACCCGCTGGATCAGCTGGTTCCTCACTGCAGGCACTGGGGGAAGGCAGTGGATCTGCTGAGTGAGGGCTGGGGGGAGAGCACTGATCACATAATCTGCCTAGAAAGAGCATAGAACAAAGCGATCACAACATGGATAACCAACAAGAAGAGATGGGAAACAATAGTCCATGTTACACATGCAAGGAACATGTTGAGTGACAGAATATAATACACTACAGGATACAGTGCTCTATATGATACAGTGCTCTACATAGAAAGATCATGGGAGACAAACAATGTCACATAGAAAGAACTGCCTGAGATCTGGAAAACGTTAAAAGCGCTATATCAAATGCAAGGATTATTATTATTGTAGATGAAGGGACAAGGAAGGAAGTTATTGTTATGCTATACATGAAAATGGTTGCTCTGGAACATGATGGTTGTGAAAATTTCCATTTTGAAACCTTGCCTTAATGTCACCAGCCAGTTCATTTATTATATTTGTTACGTGTTAGGCATATAAGACCTGGCTTGTACATAACATTACCAAAGTCACATATGATCCAACTTATGAAAGTTTGACATAACTCATCATAACTCAGCATCCACATGCAAACCTCAACCTCACACACCCGGTATTTCTCTCTGTTCAGCGTCTCCACATTGATGAACTTCTCACTCTGTTCCAGTCTCATCACTTGTCTCTGGAGCTTCACACGTTCTTTCAGGCACTTGGCTATCTGCTCACTGATTTGTGAAGAGCCTCCAACAAACTTCCTCTCCTGGTGAAATCAAGCGGTCATGTTTTTGTGCATCAAATGCGCAATTGGCTGCCACATTTCGCCCACAAATACACAGTCAATTCACTTTACAGTGTAGTCTGAGAAGCGCTTTGAGACATCGCGAAGACATGATAAAGCGCTATAAAGCGTGATAAAGCATTTTGGGATTGTCCTCCTGACATGAAAGGCACTATACAAATGTAATTTTGCATATATTTCAAATGCAAGGATGATTATAAATTGCCCGATTGGAAGATGTAAGCGACCGTATGACAATGTACGTGGGTAACAGGAAAATCCCAGGAATCGCTCGATCAAAGAGCGATGCAACAAGACCCCCTCCCTCTCCTGGACGCAAATTGATGATATCATACAACAAAAGGAAACTAATCAGAATGTCTAACCCCAGCCCTGCAGCAGAACAGGTGAAACTGACCGAGAATTCCCTGTGTTACGTCAGTCAGTCAAGAGAGTGTAGGAGCTGAGGTGCGAGGACACACCTGGCCTCCGTTGCTGGTTGAAAAGATGCGTTTGGTTCCTCCGCACTGCGTCACGTACCACAGGAACCAGAGTGCCGACACCTCGTGGGGCTCGGAGGACACGTTGACATTGACAAAGAGCGTTGCAAAGTCCCTCGCTGCTCTACAGTAAAGCAACAACAGTAAAGCATTTTTACACCATCTCAGAGCAACAAGAACAAATTACATTTAAACAGTGGCCTTTCACGTTGGGAGGACATCCCAAGGCCCTGGGCAGTCAGGGATTTGCACCCAAGCTGAGGGTTGGGATCAGGAGGGTTGGAGGGCGGGGGTTGGAGTGTGACTGAAGGCGCAGTTATTAGAGCTCACGTTAATGCGAGTCCTGAACGATTCCCTTCTACACTCTCATTCCTTTTTAGCAAGTAGACAATTTATTTCAATTTGAGGTGAATTTGGAGGAATGAGCAATATAAGACAGTATAAAAAAAACAATCCTGGAAAGTTGAAATTCAAGCAGAAAGGAAAAATACAAAATCTTTCGTTTTCAAAGTGTCTCATCACATTGTAATGCTCAAAGCTTTTTGCAGCAATGACTGTCAAGCAAAGTGACAGTTTCTGTTTCTCCGCAACAGTCATGAGGTGAACGACTGACTTATCTGAGAGATCGGTGGCCAAGCAACAACAACTTTCACTTATATAGCGCCATTCACACCGGACAGCATTTCAGTGGCGGATCCCGATGCCGAGCCAGGGAGAGGGGGAAGGTGACCTTAGGTACGGTCGAAGAGGAAGGTGTTCAAGCGCAACCTGAAAATGGGGAGAGAGAGGCAAGACAAGGGGATTGAGGGAGAGTTCCATAGCACAGGGTGAATCTCCCTTCTCTTTTAGAATAATGCCCTAGGATTGTTAACATCTACCTGTAGAATAGGCAGACAAATGCTCAGTTTAATGTCATGCCCATAGGCCAAGACCTCCAACAATGAGTGCAGAACAAGCCGGAAGGGAAAGTGGCTAACATTTCAGGTATGACGCTTCATCAGAAAATACTTACTGTGTCCAGCAAAGTCTGTCAATTAACTCTTTCATGGTCATATTATCCCACTCCTCTGCATGCTGGGCTCTCCATGGTGCACCTTTAGGAATCTAAGATCATTAAATTAATGATCGTTAAAACAATCAGCGATGCAATGTCCCTTCACCTCTAGAATGCTTTTTTTGTCACTTTGGTTCCTGGGGTCAAGGAGAAAGGTTTGAAAGAACTGCCACGGTCTAATAAAACAGCAGAACAAGCCGGACAGGCTGAATCGCCTGCTCTTGTTCCTATCTTCCCATTATAATATCAAGGTAATTCTGAAAGGAATCCAGTGTCCTGCTCGCTTCCACCTTTCAGATCAATCTGCTCTAGCTACTGAGCATTCGTCTACAGAATACACAGTCACTACTTCTTAGTCTAAGCTGATGCTCCAACGCAGCACTGGGGATGGTGTTGCATCATCAAAGGTGTTGCATCTTTTGGATGTGAGATGTTAAACCAAAGTCCTGTCAAGTGAACATTAAAGATCCCACGTCACTATTCAAAAAGAGAAGGCATTTCTCTCTCGGTGTCCTGGCAGCCAATTTGCACACAGCAATACACGACAATCAGCCATGAAGTGAATGACCAATTTTATTTGGAGGATTGTTGGCCAGGACACCAGGAGAAACTCTCTTCTCTTTTCAAATAGCGCAATGGGATTTAAGTGTCTACATCACTGAAGATACCATTGAATTCTTGAAAACCAACCTGGTCCAACCATGCCACTGACTAACATCCAGCCCCTGAACATGTCAATCAAACCACCATCTGGGTCCACCTCCATATCCAGTCTGTTTTTCAACCAATATTTCTTAATTTTCAAATTGTTTCAAATTATTTAATAAAATAATCCGTGGTTTCGGATTGTTGGTGTGAAATACCAGGAGCTGGATTTCTGCCCATAATTTTCCAAATTCCAAGGAATTCTAACAATTTCCCCAAGGACGTGGGGAAATAGTGGGGAGTGGGACTCTTTGGGTAGCTCTTCCAAAGAGCTGGCACAAGCATGATGGGCTGAATGACCTACTTCTGTGCTGTAATATTCTATGATTCTATGAATGTCAGTTGGTTAACCAAATTCTGTGGGTCCCGAGAAATAGTCAACATGAACTGGGGTAACCTACCTGCTCCCTACCTCCTATGCAGTCATAGGAGGAAAAATTATAATCAAGTGTATGTGAAGGATGATAGAGAGAGAAACGGGCCCCTCACCTCCTCTCCCATTTCATCCAAAGTTCTCCAGAGGTTGTTGTAATCCAGGTATATAATGGGGTTCAGTGAATGAGGAAACGACCCAAAAAATGGATAAGACTTTCCCTGCAAGACAGCAAATGCAACATCTCAAAAAGTAGTGAGCAACGAGGCTGCCTGGTCCTGGGAAAAAATGACTTACAGCAAGAGTAAGACTGGGTTTCCATTCCTAGACATGGGAATTTACATGGTCAAGTGGCATATGGATGTGGAACTCTCAGTCTGCTATGGAACCTCCAGCAAGATGTTGTGTTGGGTTACTGCTCCTGTCTGACACCCAGATGACCAAAAAAAAAATGCAGGGATGAAAAAGGGAGTGTATAATAAAGTAAATATTTAAACAAGTGAGAGACCCTTAAAGCGGTGTTTGTTACCCTGAGCAACAGAAAAGATGAGCACTGCATCTAATGAGCACTGCATCTCTAACGGGCATTTATGAACTTAGAATAAAGAACATTGTCCTGATTTACTCAGCATTAGCGAAGCAGATCGTTTAATAGAAGCATCACATGCACAGGTCACTCAGACTGGGCTATGCCGCAATACAGCTCTTCCTTAGCTCAAGATAAAGGAATCTGTTCAGACAACTCGTGAATGTAGTCAGGAGAAACACAGTCTTCTTAACTAGTATAATGAAACTGTTAGCCAGCTGTCTTAGATCCTCGTCTTCAACTGGACCTTTGGTTACCTTCCCACCCCACCTTGATCTCCACTCCTCTTAATCCCATCCCCAGCTCGACTTCAAATCGTTGACTGTCCAGCACTTTAGAACGTCCAAGGCGATATACAAATATAATTTGTCTAAAATCATGTTTTGCAGGAACCTCAATACTGTGGGACTCCTCCTCCAAATGTTTGGGTTGAGTCTTAACCAATCTCGCTGTTGAGATTTCAGTTGCGAGAAACAATGCAGTGTCTGCAAATGACAGAATGGCCTGTAAAGCACCTCATCTCAGCGTGGCCATTGTAAAATCCCTGCCTCTGAATCATTAGGTAAGGAAATGCAAGGATGACATTTATTGTTTCTGTGCTGATATAAATCTGTGATAACATTGAAATGCCAGTCAAGCAGGCCCATGGATGTTCTGGCTTGAGTGAGAAACCTCGCAGGTTCCAAAGGCAACAGGATGTAGAAGCCACTGAATCAGACCCTACAACAATGTTATCATCAGCGAGGCACTGGATTTCACCGTACACGCAGTTGTCAGTATGTGCAGGGTGTTCTCGTTAGATATCATAAGCAGGAAATTTCACCATTTGCTTGCTTGAAAAGCAACTATATAAACAGTAATGGATCAATCCAGAGACGCCAGTTGCTTTAACCACTGCGAAAGGTCTGATAACACCAAGTAATAACAATAATATAATCCTTGCATTTGATATAGCGCCTTATCATATCATTGAGACGTCTCCAAGCACTTCACAGAATATAGCGTAAAGTGAATTAACCGCTTATTTTGTGGGCGAAACGTGGCAGCCAATTGCACACAGCAAACAGTCGTGGATTGAGTGACCAACACTTTAGCTGTTGATTCTTCAGCATTTCCTGGCTCGTGTCAAGTATCATTAAATTAAATTCATTTTTGCAGTTCTAGCAAATGAAACGGTCGTTACCTTTACCCAAGTTCATTACCAAACAAGGGTTTGGATTATGCCACGCGTATGTAAAAAAATGTTTACTTTGGTTCGGTTTTAAAAAAAAACAAACCTTAACAATATACCCTGTATCTAAGATGTGATAAGGCACTATATCAAATACAAAGATGATTATTATTAGTATTATCAACATGTTATCCATATGGAAATATAACCCATGGTATATAGTACTTGTTAATTTCCTCTTCCTGACATGAAAGACACTCCATCAAATGTAAGGAAGGATTATTATACAGGATCAGTTTCAATCCTAGATGAAACAATCAGTGTGTTCTCCTTCCCTATTTGATGTAAAAGCCGATGTGATGCTATCACTGTTTGAGATTAAATTGCCCTTCGGCTCATGCTCTGCGTTTGCTGCCATGGATACACTCTGAAGGTGAAGGCATTGAAGCTGCTGTCATCCTCAATACATCTTGCTTCATGACTGTTTGTGGGACATTGCTGTGCGCAACTGGCTGCTACATTTGCCACACAAAATAAACAGCAATCCACTTTACAGTGTATCCTGTGAAGCACTTTGAGACGTCTCAACGGTGTGATAAGGCGCTATATCAAATGAAAGGATTATTATCATCTCGAGATCAGAAAGTAGCCTTTAAAACACACCAAACCTCCTTGTGTTTTCTCTCTCTGGTTGTGCACAGGCTTTGTCTCTGGGCACGATCCTTGCACCGAAGACCAAGCAATAATGTGATAACACTGCACTGACAAACCAAGCAAACTTCCCTGTCTTTGAATTCTGATTTAATCTCAGAGAAAGGCGTTTGTAATCAATAGAGTGTCGGCCTGGCACAATAGTAGGACTCTTATCTCTAAATCAGGAGGTTGTGGGTTCAAGCCCACAACACTTGGGATCACATAGTCTAACCTGACACTCCAATGCAGTGCTGAGCATGTGTTGCATTGTTGAAGGTGCAGTTCTTGGGGATTAGATGTTAAACAGAGGTCCCATCTGCCTGTTCAGGTGGACGTTAAAGATCCCATGGCTTTTCTCGAAAAGAGAAGGGAGATTCCCCTGGTGCCCGGCTAACAATCCCTGAAAATAAAATTGGTCACTCACTCCATGGTTGTTTGTGGAACAGTGTTCTGGCAATTGGCTCCTGTGTTTTGCCCAAAAAATACACACCAATCCACTCGTCAGTATATCCTGTGAAGTGCTTTGAGACGTCTCAATGACGCTATATCAAATGCAAAGATTATTATTATTATTACTGGTAATCTGTGTCCTGACCTTTGTTAGGTTCAAGAGTGTTGAAGTGCGATGAAGGAAAGTGCGTTGAATGTGACCTCCAATTCTGCTGGTAGGCTCTGGATTGGTGGTTTGAACAAAATAGGCTGTATCATGGGGCTGTTGCTATGAGATGGGTTGAAGATGTGTTAACAAAACAGGCACCAGCACTGCCCAAAGCATACATTACTGCAAATGGTATGTAATAATTATTAAATAATTGATGATCTCTATATGATAATAATTTCCCAGGACTCCATCGCTCCACTTGAACAGCAACGGTGAAGTGATAAAAGAAAAGTGAAATATCTGACCTTCACAAAGTGAATGAGTTTTTCTTTCTCATTTACTTCATACGTTTTTATTCCCAGCTCCTTTGCTAATCGCAAAATCCGATTCTGGGTCGGTCCGACATATGATCCTCCCAGATCAGCGTATTGGAACTCTGGACCCTGGCAGAAATAGATTGCATCAGAGCACAGTAACTTTTCTCCAGATAAACACCTCTATTGTTTCTCCCCTGAAGACAGTAAGCAGTGAATGGTTATGAGATTCAGTTTCATGGTCACTCACAGTCCTCGAAGGTATGAGCCTGAACAGCTGGCAATGTGTCAGTTCCACCTCAAGCATTACAGCAGAGCCTGATCCTATTCTCAACATCTACCTCTACAGGTCACTGTACAGCATGAACTGGGCAATGTCTTCCCTTCCCATCCTTCAGACACTGAGGACTATTTGTCCATCTTTAATAGCTAATAATAATAATAATAATAATAATAGGCTACGTCAGCACTAACCAGTCCTTGATCCTGGTCAACAAGGTAGAAGCCAAATTCCTTGGCTGCCGTCAATGTCTTCTCTCCTGCGGCTCTGACACCCTCAACTGTTCAGTGCTCCGAGACACTGCCCCATGTGAAGGCTGCTATATAAAGCAAGTTGTTGTTGATTGTCCTGATGTCTCATGCCACATAACTGATCCTTTGCACATTGTATAACCAACCTAGCTATTTCTGGACCCAGAAAATTCCTAAAGTTCAGAACCCGTAGCCAGTTTCATACTTACATGAATTGTATATGTTCTCCCTCCGACCCGGTTTCTAGCTTCCAAAACAACCACATTCAAGTCCGCCTCCATCAACAGCTTGGCAGCTGACAGACCTGGAGAAGAAAGCCAATGCAATGAGGTGACAAGCATTTGCCAGTGGATCAATGAGTATATATATCAACGAGTAGGTGGCCAGACCAGAAAAACAAACTGAGTGATACAGGTGCAGTATCAGCTGACAAGGAGAATTCATGTTAAATCATTTGACAAGAGCAGCGACTCTTTATGCTATCAGTATAATTACAGCGAAACAAAATGTTCAAAGAGGACTTTGAGTGGTAGCGGTCATTTTCTTTGATCACTGCACTGAGTGGGCTATAATTCTGGTTGTGAGTTCAATACGTATTTGCTTTTCTTTCTTTTCTGACGCTGTCAAAGAGATTTCACACACTGGCTTAGAGATCTACTTTGCTCGCATCAAATCCCACAGTGGGAAAATACATTACAGGAAAAAAATACACTTGGAACAATTGACTTATAGCTGCAAATTTGACTGAATGTGTATTCATCACATTTTGAGAAGAAGCATTAAAATCCTTAGTATGTACAAAATGGTGGGAGAGGTAGGGAGATGCCAGGGCATAAAGTGATTTGGAGGCAAGTGTGAGGATCTTGAAATCGATCCATTCTGCATCAGGGAGCCGGTGGAGCCTGGCAAGGACTGGGGTGATGGGTGTGGAGTTTGGTGTGGGTGAGGATACGGGCAGCGCTGTTTTAGATTAGTTGAACTTCGTGAATGGTTGGAGCTGGGGACACTGGGTGAAGACACAACATGAGGATGTCTCTCACTGGTTTTACTCCATGCTGACAACACTAGATACTAAATTAGGTAAGGCATTAGTACCAACCAGTAGGTAATGAGTTATCATACATTAAGGATTTATACAACGATATAAATGTTGGAAGATTTTTTTTTACACAGAGGGTTGGTTGCCAGAAGATATTATGTGCAAATGGCCATTGATGGCAAGTTCATTAAAGCATTTAAAAGGAATTTGGACAAATACCTTAGGTAAATAAATCTTGAATGGATTGGGAAAAGAGAAGGGAATGAGATTAGGAGATTGCAGTGCAGAAACAATGAGCCGAGTAGCCTATGTTACATCTATGTTGCAAAAGTGCATCACTGAATAAATATTCTATTGGGTTTAAATCCATGTTAAATTATTGTTATTCCAATATACCCTTGTACAATACTCTTCATTCATCACCTCAAATAGCTTCACCCAACTGAGTACATAACCTAGTAAAAAGAGATTACTCAAAAGATTCTCCCCAACCACAGATTTGGGAGTTTGGCAGGATCATTAATTGTGGTGTTGAATGTGTTTCACAATTCCAACTGGGCACTACAAAACGTTCACATGCACATATCATCCTTTATTGGAATGCTTGTAATATGCCTTCCTTTCTCACTACAAAGCTGCCCTTTCAATAACAACAAATTACATTTGTATAGTGCCTTTCTCATTGGGAGGATGTCCCAAGGCACTGGACAGTCAGGGATTTGGACCAGAGCAGGTGGCTGGGATCAGGAGGGGTGCAGGGCAGGGAGGGCAGGAGGGTGTCCAAAGGCAAGGTTGAAGAGGAGGGTCTTGAAACGTGCCTTGAAGGAGGCAAGGAAGGGAGGAAGTTGAGGGGAAATGCACACTGCAACAGGCTTAAAATTAAATAATAATTCTTGCATATGATATAATAATAATATTTGCATTAGAGCATAAGAAATGCTAGACGAAAAAAGACCAAGATCCATCCAGTTTGCCTTCCACCCTGGGGGTCGCCTGCCCATATGTCCCAAATTACCTTTGTATTATATCCTATAATGTTATTTCCTAAAAGAAAACTAGCTGTTTTTGAAACTATATAATCTGTGTTTGCATTTGGTGTAATAATAATAATAATCCTTGCATTTAATAAGAGCCTTATCATGTCGACAAGATGTCTCAAAGCGCTTCACAGAATATACTGTAAGTATACTGAATTCGTCTTGACTGCTGCAACCTTTTGCTGCCAGTAAGCCTTCAGGCCTTAATGATGTTTACAATGATATAAATCAGTTTGAAGTCATCCATCTGTATTCAGTCCAGTGCTTGCCGCCCACTCACATCCGATATACTGACAGTATAATAAAAGTTTCCGCAATGATTTCTTCAGGCAATGGAGGTGTAAATCAATACACATCAACGCACTGGAACAGCACAGGAAATTACCCTGCTCTATAAGAGGCTATAAACATTCAAACATCAGAATACCGGCTGTTATTGGGGCTGCACAGAATACAATACAATTAATTTCCTTTATATGAAGGAGGCAATATCCTGCTGCTTTATTTCAAATATCATTAAACACCAAACTCCTGCCATCTGATGAAACTGAAGAAGAATTTTTAAGAATTTGTATTAAAAGTGCACTATATGAATAAATGACTTACAACATCTTCCATCTTTCTGAGTGTGCAACATAACACATCCTCTCCTTTAAGGGACCTGTTGTGTTACAAAGTTTCAGGGTGAAATAGCCTGCATCTTTGACATAATGACTTGAAGCAAATGTTTGCTCTATTTATTCAGTAAATGCATGATTGGTTTACTCACCATGTCAGACACTGCACTCAACATCTCACATATGGAGTACAAATTGTTGAATTGAGTCTGAGCAAGAACCAGGTATAGATTCAAAGGGAAAACAGGTAGGCGAGTTATTGTTATTCAGGGTTATGGTTCCAAGAAGATAGGTCTCCTTCTTTATGCTACAATTATATTTTGTGATTCTAAATACAAATCATACAACTTTGACCATGTCTTCGACACCCCCCGCCTCCCCCTTGATTCCAACCCCCAGCTCAGAAGCAAACCCTTACCTGCCCAGTGCCTTGGGACGTCTTTCCAGGTGAATGGCGATATATAACGGTAATTTATTGTTGTTGTTATCCAAGATTTCACTATCATATCATGAGGAAGTTCAACTCTATATGTTAATCAACAACTACTTGTATTTACATAGCTCCCCTCATGCAGGGAAGCGTCCAAGAGCGCTTGACAGTGGTGGAACACGACACCGAGCCAGGGGGAGGTGACCGTAGGCACGGTCGAAGAGGAAAGTCTTCAGGTGCAATCTGAAGATGGTGAAGGAAGGGGAAAGGCGGAGGGATAGAGGGAGTGTTTCAGAGATTTGGAGTATAGTGGATGAAACTCAGTAACATATCTTTTCTATTTAATTATTGGAATGGTCACTTCTCAAATTTTACCAACCTAGCCGCTTTTTTCACTGTCTGTCTCCCCCCCCCCCTCTCACAAGCACCCAAATCAGCTATTCTGCCCTCACTCCATCCCAGAGTCCCTCCAAATAGCTCCCTCCCTCCCTCACCTCCTTCAAGTTCCTTGCATCATGTTTCCCCTCCCAACATCCCTTGGCTCCCACCCCCAGCTTGGGTGTCCAGCCAGTACTGTTAAGCGCTTTGGAAGTCTTTCTGACATGAAAGGTGCTACCTAAGTGTAATTTTTTATTAGATTATTTGTACTTTCTCTGAAATAGGTACCTTTCCCCCTTCCTGGATCCTCAGTACTGAAATCAAAATCATCGCCCTGCCTCCTACGCTAACGATTCTTTCTTGGTACCTTAAATTGTGAAGCTCTAAGACTCCCATTATCATAGAATCTGGAGGCTTTCAACCCCCCACCCCTAAGTTTGGAGTCATCTAAGCATTATTTCTTGATTTTACTTTGCTTCTATCCTAATAAAATTATATATTTCCCACGGAAGTGGCCAAATCAACACCAATATTGTTGAGGAGAAAGCAGGTTACCTGCCCACCCATAGGGACAAAGGAACTGGATGCAGTGTGGGCTGATTGGGAGAGAAAGGATCTAAACATCGACAAGGAAATTCAACAATCGTTTGAGAACATCTTTGCATGTTTGTGTGTCAGCTTGATTCAGTTGGTAGCATTCTCGCCTCTGAACCAGAAGCTTGTGGGTTCAAGCCCCAAGAATCACAAGGTCCCAGCTAACAATCCAATACAGGTCTAGGTTGGGGGTGCAGGGAAGGAGGGAAGGGATGTCTACAATGTTGGAGGTGCCGTCCTTCAGATGAGATGTTAAACCAAAGCCCCAACTGCTTATTTAGGTGGATGTCAAAGATCCCATAACACTATTCGAAAAGAGAAGGGAGTTTCTCCCGGTATCCTGGCCAAGAATCTCCAAATAAAAATTGGTTACTCTTTCAATGGTTTGTGGGACATTGCTGTGCAAACGATGGCTGCAGCAATCGCCTACAAAACAGTCACTACACTTTACATTAAATTTGGGATGTCCTCCCGACGTGAAAAGCCATGTACCAAATATAAGGATTATTACAACAACAAAATTACATTTATAGAGCGCCTTTCACGTCGGGAACAGTCAGGGGTCAGAATCCGAGTATGGGGGAGAGGTGGGGGAGGGGTAAGGGAAGGCAGAGAGGTGGGAGGGCGACCGAAGGCACGATCGAAGAGAAGGGTCTTGAGACCGGCCTTGAAGGAAGCAAGGGAGGAAGCAAGGCGAAGGGACCGTAGGATGGAGTTCCAGAGTGTGGGGGCAGAGAGGCTGAAAGCCCGGTCACTGATGGTAGGGCAGGTCGGGCGGGAGACATGGAGCAGACCACTGAATGGAGGGAGCGGGCAGGTTGGTAAGGAGTCAGCAGGTCAGAGAGCTATTATTATATTTATAAGTTTAAAAGATGTGCAGCTCAAGGGGAACCTATGACATACTGAGCGGCAATCTAAATATAACAGGATATCCTTTTAAAAATGAAGCAATGATTATACAGTTGGAGGAGTGACTTGAAGAAGAGGCCCAATAATAATACTTGCATTTGATATAGCGCCTTATAATATCATTGAGACATTTCAAAGTGCTTCACAGAATATACTGTAAAGTGAATTGACTGTGTATTTTGTGGCCGAAACGCGGCAGCCAATTGTGGACACAGTGTTCCACAAAGTCGTGGATTGAGTGACATTTTTTTTGGAGGATTTATTACCCTCCGGAAAGTGCCTCTGAAGGTCTAAAGTATTTTGAAAGCTGAATCACATATGGCTTTGATTAATACACAAACCAAGTAACTATCATTCTGTATCACTTGGCACCAGGAACACTGCTTACAGCACCTTCTCTTAATAATAATATAATAATCCTTGCATTTGATACAGCGCTTAATCATCTCATTGAGACATCTCAAAGCGTTCAACAGGAAAACACTGTAAAGTGGATCGACTGTGCGTTTTGTGGGCGAAAACATACAAATTATTCAAACAGGAAAACATACAAATAATGTACCCCATAGCACATTGTGTGTGTTGGGGGTGGGTTGGTGGGGCAGAGAGCAAAGAGCAGAGCTTCCAAAGAATCAATCTACTTTCTAATTCAGGGCTGATGCACCTCACTGTGTTAATATTATTTGCAATAGCAAACATCCTTAGAAATATTTTTAAAATCTCCTATTGTTTCCAACTACTTTGTTCTGGAGACCGGAAATATTTGTTGACATTGATTCAGACTAATGGATCCTGTAGCTCAGTGGAGTCCTGTAGCTCAGTGGTTAGAGCACTCGCTTTGCAAGTGAGAGATCTGAGTTCAATTCCAGGCAGAGGGCGAAACCTTGGGCAAGTTTCCTTACTCCACACGCCTAATAATAATCCCTCCAAAAAACCCAAAACAATAATAAATTGGTCATTTTCAATCTACGACTGTTTTTGGGACATTGCTGTGCGCAATTGGCTGCCGCGTTCGCCCACAAATATACAGTCAATTCACTTTACAGTGTGTTCTGTGAAGCGCTTTGGGACGTCCTCCTGACGTGAAAAGCGCTATATCAAATGCAAGGATTATTATTATTATTATTATTATTATTATCCTGATCTACTCCTTTCATCTTAATTTCATAAAAAAACATGATTCCTCATTCACATTCATTCACAAATCCCATGGTGTTCCTACATCCAGAGTCTCTTGAATTAACTCAGGTTCCTTCTCGCTGTTGTGCTCAAAAGCTGGGAAACGATACATGAAACTTAGCACAAAAACTAACCTGATATCCCTCCTCCAATGATCACCACATCAAGCTTTTCACTGGACATTTCACCAGCCTCTAGATGATTTTTCCCCTCAGGAACGTTGTGTATGGAATATGAGACTTAGCCGGCTGGTTATGCTGTAAAGTGATCGGTTGGTTGTCTTCTGTAACTGTGCATCCCTCAACATGCCATTCAGAGAGCCCGTCTCCTTTTGTCTCTGTGCAACTGCTCTGTCGCTACCTCAGTAGGAGGGACCACAGATAGATAAGCCGTGCATTCAATGCTTGGGCACATCTCAACAAATCAAATCAAAGGTTAGAATCCAACGTGGAGATTAGCAAAATCAAACGGGGGGGGGGGGAAATAAAGTGGATGAAAGACTTCAGCTAAAATGTCAACCTTTTTTCTTTTGGATATTGATGGAGTTGTTGTGAATTTCCAGCACAGATATGATCCAAATAGATTTACGTGAAAATCAGAATAAAAAACAGCTAACACCTGGTACAAACAATAAATGATATGATGTAAAGGTAGGATTTCTAATTTACTCTGACTGTGATGGATGTTGGGCTTGTAACCATAGCGTTTTCTTCATGTGTGGATTTAGCTGATTGCCATGTCTCTGTGAGGTCACAGTGAGGAGATACAACAGCCATGTGTTGTGGTGAGAATCACCTCCTCACTCACAATGGTTGTGTAAATATTGGCTCCTGGATGTACGTACCACACGAATGGCACCATATTTAACCTTCAATAACGTATCGGGTTGGCTTAGTCTCGGGATGAATGAGGAACTCTCGCGTGCTTTTAGGCACCAGACGTTTGAAGTAAATCTCCTCAATCTTGGAGAGAATCTATTTGACTGTGGGAGCTTGACTGGTATCCACATGAACTTTCTGAGGGTGGTTGGGGGTGGGGCGAAGAACTATATAGCGATCAGCGAGTCAGAATCCTGTCCGACTGTCCCTTCCTAAACACAAATGCTGCATCTAAAAATGAAAACCACTAACTCAATAGAGATCAGAATTTGAACTTAAACCCTACTGCTGCTCTTTATGACTCAGCAACACGTTGGCGGGGGCTCTATCCACAAACCTATTCAAAGAGCTCTGACAGAACAATATGTAAGGCAGAGAGAAGCTGGACAGCAGCCAATTCATATTAGCAGAAGGCAGCATTTATTTGTAATATTTACTCAGTACAGATGTTTAAATACACAATCTCCAATGTAAATAGCGTCCATTTCATTGTGTAAGCGGGCCCACGGCTAAATGCCTGCTTTGGTTTATCGGCAGTGGGCTGTACACCCAGTCACAGACGGACAGACGGACAGTCCATTCTCACCAGAGGCACATGGCCCAAAGATGGCAACAGCGTACAATATACGTTACATGTGTAGACCACAATCTGGCAAAGTGAGGCACAGGTGCCCGCAAGAGATAGTGGAGTCATTTGCATAAGGGGCAGTATACATAGCAAGTCCTATAGAAAGACAGGCAGCAAGACTGCTACTGGATTGTGGCTGTTCAGTTAGTGCTCTGTGGTTCACCAGGACTACGTTAAAAATCAAATTGCTTTTCGGTATTCTAATAAATTTCCAGTATTGCTGAATCAAGCTGAGGGTAGAGTGGAAACTCTATACCTACTGTGCTTTGTGCTGGACAGACACAAGACAATCAAATTACTTAATCAACATTGTATTAGAGCGAGCAAGGTTACCACCAGCATTCGATCAAAGTGTGCATGCAACTTAACATTGTAATCGCATACCTCAGTAAAAAGGCCCAGGTTGTTCAAACGGGACACCCATCAAAGTAAGAGACCGAATGTTGGTGCAATCTTTATATTCTACCACTAGGTGCCTCTAGCAGTAAACTGCTAATATTAATAGTACACAATTGACCAATTCTGACCTAACTAACAGCTTACGTCTGTTCTGCATAAAAGGAAAAGAAAATCAAATCTGTCAGCAGTTTGATCCTATGTCGATCCATCTCAAAACACAAGCAGCCAGTTGACATACAGTTAATAAATTCCCTGATCTGGATTTCATTCTGGTTGTAGGTTAAACTGCCATTTCCCATGGGACTGTGTGATTCAAAGGAATCAATCGTTAAAACAAGAAAGCTGTCGACTGTTAGAACAGCAGCAAAAAATTGCCTGTATTGTACAATGGCTTATTTCAACCCAATAACCAATACCTGGAGCAACCAGTGAGCTGAGCAGCCCCCATCTTCAGCTTTGGTTGCCTTGTGCACTAGTGTGCTAGATTTCATTATTCTAGGTGCGGAGTTACTCAGACAAAGTGGGAACCTTCAATTTGGCGTTAAAGCCTTACTGCACGGAGCTTTGTTACACTTTGACAACCTCCCTGAACATGGTATTAGCGAGGAATTATCTGGTGCGCTTTCCAGCCCCATTTTCCCTCAGCTCCTAGAATTGCTTTCACTTCAGGCCGGCCAGTTCCTGGAGGAGCTGTTCCTTTTCTCGCTGAAGCTCCAGGACGTGCTGTTTGTTCTGCACCAAACGGTCCTCCAGCCACTGCAACAAGGGCCCACTGATTGATGACATCTGGCTGCACAGGTTCTTTGTGAAAACTAGAAACATAACACAATACGTCTATTAAATGCACAGTCTCCGCAGATCAGGATTTATTGTTGGTGCTACGAGTATTTCTAAATCCAGAATGCATCTTAGTAAACTCTTGTCTAAATCAGAACAGCCAGGGGGACAGCACACAAATCTTTGAATCCAGCTCCTTTCCCTCCCGCACTCACTCACCTTTTTCTATTAGAGACAACTACAAACTGCACCCATTGAACAAAAGTAGCAATTTGCACTTGTATACGATTCAGAAAAGGTTGTGGGTTCAAGCCCCATGTCAGGACTTTGAAGCTGACACTCAATGCAGTGCTGGATGGGTGCTGTATATCAAAGGTACCATACTGAAAAGACGTTAAACTGAGGTCCCGTCTGCCTGTTCAGATGGATGTTAAAGATCCCATGACACTATTCAAAAAGAGGAGTCTCTCTCTCTCACAGTGTCCTAGTTAACAATCCCCCAAATAAAATCGGTCATATGGCTTTTGTGGGATATTTCTATGCTGGCTGTTTCCCATGCTAACAAAAAATCACTTCCAACTTCCAGATTTTTACATTGCCGTCAGTACAGCAACCTGATGCATTTGTATTATAAACGAATCAGTGCTGTAACAAAGCTGCTCTGTATATGTATAATATGAAAAAATTAAGTTGTAAGAGCAAACTATCCTTTACCTGATCCATTGTGAATCTTGGTGATAGGATCCAGATGTGACAAACTGAAATATCAATGACAAAGAAGTTACAGACATGCCAAGACCCAGTGGGAAATAAACTGCATTACGTAAGAAACTACTGCAACTATAATGAGACACAAATAGGAAAGAAGGTTGGGGATTTCCCATCTGCAGGTGCATACCAACAAAATGAAAACAGTTAAGGTTTCATATGTCAGAATCCCCTGCTGAATGGACAAGGAGACTCTATGAGAACGATCAACAACAAATTAATTTATATCACATCCAGAGGATGCCCCAAGGTGCTGAGATCAAGACTGATGTTTGCAGAAGTTAGTGCTGGGCAATGCAACACTTTCCCAGTTTAGGTTAACAAGTGTTGGCACCAAGGACCACTATTCAGCTACAGCATGATTTCATGTAATGTAAAACTAATCTCTAGTCCTCCAAATGAGATTGCCCATTTAAGGTTAAAAATTCAACCTGGATTTAGTCTTGAATTAAGAGCAGTTTTGTGCTGATTGGAACCCAGGATAGATTAAGCCCGCACTATATTTATACCCAATTTTGTAGCATCTCCACCTTCCCAAACCTTCTTACATTACCTGTAAATTCTTCGATAAGCATCTTGCTCCTCCTGGCAAAGGATTTTGGGGAGCTCAACAGCAGATTCCAGGCACACTTTGCCAATGGTTTCATGAGGCACTACATGGATTGGGATCTCTATTCGTTCAAACCTGCAGCCAAATTATCGGAAGGAATTAATTCACGTTTAGTTGAGCTTCATGATATTACACAAAATCAAACTAATGTCCAAAACATATTAGGAATGGATGCTGAATTTTTTGCCTTATAAAACTCGGAATCCATCCAGACTCTAAAGCCATCTTTGAGAAGTCTCAGCATTAGATTCAAGACAAATTAACTAGTGTTTATTTTACTTTAATAGATACAGTAGCAGGTTGTCAAAACTGTTTTGACAAAACTGTTTTAGATACACAGGCTGTTCAACAATATCAAACTGGAATGTCAATGCTCAACCGGGAACGTGGCTAAGTGTAATATTACTAATAACAACATATTAAGCATCAAGTGTCTTATATCTTGGGCTTGGGAATTGGGGAAACTCCACTTACTCAGAACCTTTCTGTGCTTGTATTGACTGAAAACAGGTATAAAGAACTCGACCCGTCTGAAAGTGGAAAAATAGAGAATGTATTATTAAGCTATGGTATTCAAGTTACCCAGTTGGGCAGAATTACAACATCTTCTCTCTATAAGACCAAAAACTATTGTCATACACCAGTCGGGTTGATATGGTTTTCATAGGGTAGACCAGGAATTAGATAAACAGTTTAAGAGGAAGAAAATAAAGTGGTGCATTGCAAAGGGCAGGGGGATTACAGACCAGAATGGTGAATCAAATATCTCTGTTAGCTGTAAAGTGTCAAAGCTGCTCGTAGTTTATGATGAATTATCAGTCTCATTTACCAAGGGTGAAAGCACGCTAGAATGAGAAATGGAGAGGCTATACAAGTACAATATGTGTACTCTACAAAGCCAAAGTTTAAGGTAAATTGTTGCTCTGTCTCTAACCTATGTAATAACTGGTCTGTAAGAGCTTTGATTGGGAGGGCAGAACAACCTTCACTTAATGCTGACATCAGGTGTAAAAAGTAGGAAATGATCCATTCTATCCTGCAATTTGACTAATGGGTAACCTTTATAGAAAATATTTTAATATAATTTAGGCCTACTACACAACATTCGCTGGTTGTGAATGGGGTTGGAGGAGGGGAGAGTAACTTGTATACTGCCACGAGGTGGATAAAAAGTCAGGAAAGTTTTCCTACGATTTGGCCTCTGCCTCCAATCCCTTGAGTACTTTGTGAGAAAGAGCCAGATCAACACTTATTGCCTCAGGGGGCAATACAGGTACTTAATAAAACAGAGAGTTGGGACAGACCTTAGTGTTCTTATCCTCGATGAAACAGGAGAAGATAAGACCCACAAAGCCCTGATCCATCATCTGATACATGGCCTGTGTACGAACATCTGATAAAGAGACACCACAGTGAGAAACACATCAGGATTTTCAGAATGTGGACAGATTACTCACAATACACACTCAATTTGCAATGGCAATTACATTTACATGAGATGCTTTCAAGATTCCCCCTCCCATGCACTTTAACTTCCACACAGGATGTCAGTATTCAATCTCATCCAAAGGACAACACCTCCAATAATGTTGCACATCTCTAGTTCTATACTAGACTCTGACGATTCCACCCTCCTATGCTTTTTTAAGCTCAATGAGGATCTCAATTCTCAATCTCACCTACTCGTAGCTTCAGTCTCCCAGCCCTTCCCCAGTGTTATACTACAGTATACCGACATGGGACTCAAACCCGTAACCTTCTTGTTCTAGAAGCGAGAGCGCACCAATTGAGCCAAAATGATCCCTTAATTAAATATACACAAAAAAAAAGGTACCAGGCCAAACAAAGGGAACGTTCACTTTCGACTGCTAACTAAAGACTACATAGAACAGCTCGTATTTACATAGTGCCCTGCATGTCGGATAACATCTCAGAGTGTTTCATAATAATGGGATCAGACCCTGGGAAAGGAGAACAGGAAGTGACCATCAATACAGTCGAAGAAGTACAATACAAAATTACATTTTGTCGGGAGGACGTCCCAAGGCGCTGGTTTAGGGTCGTTTTAAAGGTAGGACGTAAAGACCGATAGAAAGAGGGCGAGATGGAAGGAGTTCCAGAGGTTAGAAGTGCAGGAACTGACGGTTGTTAGACCATTAACAAGAATAACTAGTGCAGTAACATGCTCATATACCATACAGATATACACTTACCCACATGTGAAGGCCATACAGTGATATGGGGATGAGAGTGGTACCATCCCACCACTCTCATTGGACGGCCAGTCATTTCAGCTAATCTGTGTGAATTGTTAAGGATTATAATGACATAGGCTGGAACCCAAAGCCTGTGCTTTTCTTTACGCAGCACCCACACATACTCTTCATAATTTGCTTCCAGATAGACGTATTTAAAAGATGCACCCTGCATCTATCAGAACCTTTGCTGCAAATTAACTCTATGAAGTTATGATAATTGGGAAGAAAATATTATAGCTTTACCTTGAATCCAAACTGTGCTATGTCAACTGTAAATGTTTGATACAGAGCTTGTAATCAAATAGGGATAAAGACAATTCATTCCCTTTGACATCCCTCACCTTGATGCACTTACTTACATAAGCACCTTTCACGTTAGGAGGGCGTCACAAAGCGCTCGCCAATTCTGACTGGGCATCAGAGCTGAGGGTGGGAGCTGAACTTAGTCCCACAAGCATGCATTAATTTGACACCCACATTTTTCAACCCTTAGCTAATATTAACGTGGAACCATGTCAGTCAGAGTGCTGCATCCGATGGCAGGCTTCACTCTCAGGGGACTGGAAAGGATATCTCTGCTTCAGTGGAAGCTGCAGAAAGTTGTTCTGGAGAAATTTCGACCCGATCCTTGCGTTTGTCCGAGCGCCGTAGGATGATGACGAAGTGAATGTGGACAATCCTGCTCGTGTCAACCTGAGGAAAAATCAAGAGATTTCTTATGTTCGCCTTGTCCACAGAGACGCCATTTGACAGGAGCTGCCATCCTCACTCCGAGGTGAGGACGGCTGCTGAAAGGTGAAGGGTATCCCAGTAGGTTTTAGTAGATGGTCCCCATCTCCAGATGCAGCCAAACGAAGGCAGCGGATAGCGGGGAGCGGAGAGCAAGCCGGTCGGAAAGGCAGGGAGGGGGAGGTCCCAGGGCGAGACGGGATGTGCAGACGAGCGTGAGGACCTTGAAATCGATCCGTTCCGTGACAGGGAGCCGGGCGAGCCCTGGGGCGAGAGTTCAGGCGGTGAGGTCCAGCGTGTGGGCAGCGGCCGGACAGGGCGGCATCGGCACAGTCGAGGCGGCGGGTAACCCAAGGTAACCGTGGGCCCGGTGCCCCCCTGAGACCCCGCAACCACCTGACAAGGCCCTGGGTCAAATACAAGGATTATTATCAGGGCCACACCCCTCCCCCCCCCCAACCCCCCCACCGGCTCGGCCGGAGGCACCGCTACCGTGAGACGCCAACCCGGGGGAGGGGAGGGGAGGGGGCGCTGTGAACATGCGGGTTGCTGTTGTTGTTGTTGTTATTGGGATGGGGGGGCAGTTACTAGGGAGACTCCGGAGCGGTTGCCAGGGTAACACTGCCCAGGGGGCGGTTGCTAGGGAGCGGGGAGGCCTGTTGCTATGGGGGGGGTTGGGGCGCTGCTCAGGGCTGTCGGCCTCACCTCCCCGATACACAGCCCCATCACCTCCTCCTTCTCGGTGGACAGAGCGTGGTTCAGACACACCAGGAAGGCGTCCGACTCCAGGTGGACCCCGCAAACCGCCATCTCGGCCTCCGCCAACCGCTCACCGGAAGTCACCCCCACCCCCCGACACATCCCCTCCGGGTGCAAACGGCGCCGCAGAGCATTGGTTCCGGAGCCTCCAACACAACAATCCCCCCCCACCCCCCACACACACACACCCCCACAGACACACACCCCACCCACACACCCCCACTCCCACCCCACACACACACCCCCACTCCCACCCACACCCACAGACACACACCACACCTCCCCACACACACCCCCCCACAGACACACGTCCCCCACCAAAAATAAATAAAAATACATAAAAGTGAAGCTCCAGTGCTGTCTGTGCAAATGTCTGTCATTCTCGGGTGTGATTTTAACCCTTTTATTTTTGCCCAAATGTATGTGAAAAAAACGAATGAATCCCAAGTGATCAAAGGGGGAAGAGGGACAGATTAGCGGGTGCACACACCGGCGGCTCCAGGCAGGTACGGGGGGGGGGGCTGTCAGGCAGAGCTCGTGTCTGTGTCCCTGTGTGACCCTGTGTGTCTGTGTGACCCTGTGTGTCTGTGTGTCCCTGTGTGTCTGTGTGACCCTGTGTGTCTGTGTGTCCCTGTGTGTCTGTGTGACCCTGTATCCCTGTGTGTCTGTGTGTCCCTGTGTGTCTGTGTGACCCTGTGTGTCCGTGTGTCTGTGTGACCCTGTATCCCTGTGTGTCTGTGTGTCCCTGTGTGTCTATGTGTCCCTGTGTGTCTGTGATTCTGTGTCTGTGTGACCCCGTGTCTGTGTGACCCTGTGTCCCTGTGTGACCCTGTGTGTCTGTGACCCCGTGTCTGTGACCCCGTGTCTGTGTGTCCCTGTGTCTGTGTGTGTGTGTGAGAGTCAGACAGACTCTGTACATCACAATAACAACAACAATAATCCTTCCATTTGGTTTAGCGCTGTATCACATTGTGTCGGAAGGACGTCCCGAAGCGCCTTCACAGGATTTACTGTGACCCGTAGGCAACAACAACAACAAGATTGCATTTGCGTAGCGCCCTTCACGTCGGGAGGACGTCCCAAGGCGCTCAAACAACAACAACAGCAACAGCAAAGTTGGCAAACGCAGCAGCACACAATTGCGGAGTCAGCTAGAGAGGTTGGGGGGGGGGGGACACGGGGGTGGGGTGAGGGATGGGGGGTGTCTGGCACAAGGAACAGTCAGACGGGGAGGGTGGGCGTGTCTGTGTATAAGGCACAGCCAGAGGGAGTCTGTGCATAAGGCATTCTGTGTTTGGAGACGTGATATCAAATAAATACAAAATGCATTTATATATCAAAACAGCACGAAGCTCGAGTGATGCGGCAACACATTTACGAAAAAAGATAATGGGGACAGAGGTGTCCAATTACCTGAAAACATCTAAAATAAGTATAGGGCTGTATTGACAGCCGAGTCTCAAACTCCATAGTCCATATCCAGCCATCCGTTCCCTCGGACCTGACGGTTATACACAGACAGGACACTGGCTCAAATATCACACGTGGTGAGAACTGCCATTGCCACAATCCCCTCAAACTCCTCACATGCCAGTGCTGCGTTTGCACTGTGTCAGTAACCCACAATTAACGGCTTTGGCAGTTTTCACAGCTAAGGGCCCAATCCAGTCTCTTGCTGAAACTCCTGTTGACTGGTACGTTAGTTAGCGAGTAGTTGTGGTCTATAAGGATCCATCTCACTGTGTAGCGCAGGAGCAGCCTAAAACCAACACACTTCATACATTGCAACAAGTCATTTTCTGTATTCTTATTTTCAGACGTGTTGGTATGTCGACCAGAGACCCCTGCCAGACCCAGGCCTGTGAAATACAGAAGTGTTTACAAGGTGAAGTTTAGAGGTTTTGCTGTGCGCAAACTGGCTGCCGCTTTTCGCTCACAAAGTTCACCGTCAATCCACTGTACAATATATCCTCTGAAGCACTTTGAGATGTCTAGACAATGTGATAAAACTCAAAATCAAATGCAAGGATTATTATTATTATTATTTAAGTTTATGTGTTAAGGTTGTCTTTATTTAAAGGACCATGGCATGGGCTGACAAAGACTGGTGCAGATATCTCATAGGGAGGAGTCTTCATTTAATATTTTACCTGGTCCTATCTCCTCCTGCATTAGGGCTGCTTGAGTGATGTTTTGTTACAAGGAATAGACAGCAGTTCCATTCAGTTTAGCAGGCACAGGAGGTTTGATGCCGAGTACTGGCTATTATTTATATTAGTACTTTATATTTAGCAAATTGGGATTAGGAACCCTGGTTGTTTTTTTCTCTCCCAAACATTAGGACAATTATAGTACTCCAGTGCTGCCCTGTCTCAGATTAGCTAACTCAGCATAACAACAACTTACATTTATAGAGTGCCCCTTACGCAGGGTAGCATCCCACTGCCTTGGACACAGCCTCAAAGTGGACCTTCCAGATCTGTATGGTTTAGTTTCCTGCTAGATAGTCACTTTAACCAATACACTAACCAACACGCTACAGGAGTCCTGTAGCTTAGCGGTTAGAGTAATCGACTTGCAAGCGAGAGGACCCGTGTTCGATTACTGGGCAGGGAGAAATGTTGGGAAACTTTCCTTACTCCACACCCCGAAAAACCCAGTTGTTAGTCGATTGGTGGATCACTTTTCCAGGGGTAATAATCCCTAAAAAAATTTGGTCACTCAAATCACCACAGTTTGTGGGACACTGCTGTGCGCTGTTGGGTACCTCATTTCACTCTCAATAAACACAATCAATTCAGTGTACAGTATGTTCAGTGAAGAGCTTTGAGATGTCTCAACAACATTATAAGACGGTATATCAAATGCAAGTATTATTTTAACAACCACTGAATTAGCACATCTCTTGCATGCTTGAAGTCTTGTAGTTAGCGAGAGAATTCTGGGTGTATCACACTGCTCTTGTTCACTTTTCTTTTGCAGCTTATCATTATCAGGAAAGCAAATGTCAGCATGTGATCGAAGAAATGCATAAGTGTTGCAAGATTCACGCAAAGAGGTCAGTCTGCTGTTCAGGCTTCCTGATCAAGCAGGAAGAAAAAAACAAGCAATTTTTGGACTGAGAAGCGCCATTGATAACAGGCACAATGGCTTTTACGTAACACTCACCTTTTCATAATCACCATGACTAAGACTTCAATTTCAAAGAAATCACTGTAGCATCAAGCCTGGAGTCAGCTGTCAGCCCGTTCGTATAATTTGTGTGTCAGCTTGGCTCAATGTCCACATCGCCGCCACGTCAGAAGGTTGTGGGTTCAAGCCCCACATTTGGACTTGGAATCACATAATCTAAGATGACACTCCAATGTAGTGTTGGGCCAAGGGGTGGGTTGCATTGTCAGAGGCGTCGAGCTTCAGATTAAACAGGTCCTGTCTACCCCTTCAGGTGAATATTAAAGATCCCATGGCGCAATTCAAAAAGAGGTGGGAGTTTCTCCTGGTGTCTCGGGCAACAATCCCTCAGGTAAAATTGGTCATTCACTTCACGACTGTTTATGGGACATTGCTGCGCAAAACAGGCTGCCGGGTTTCCCCCACAAAATAGTCAAACCGCTTTACAGTGTATCCCGTGAAAGGTTTTGAGCATCTCAACGATGTGGTAAAACTATATTAAATGGAAGGATTGTTATTATCATCGATCTTGTTGGTCTGTCTTGTTGAAAAGCAAAAATCCAGTTATTAGAAATTTTTGAGAACAAATCCAAATGAAATTTGATAGCTTTACAGAAGTTTATGTTGGATATTTTCAAAAGCCGTGAACTTTACATTTCTTATAAATCTTCAATACTTAATTTCCTCTTAATGCATAGTGGGGATCATCAAGTGTTATCATGGAGTTTACTGCAGTGGTGAGGTGTTACAGTAATGAATAAACTAAAGCACTAAAGCAAAACTTAAAACATTGCAAAAGTAGACAGCAGTGAATAAAATTAATCCTGGGTTTTGGATTAATCATGCAATCTGCTCATAATGTGTGAGAACAGATAGACTTTTCACTGTCCTCCTTTCAGGCAATCTGAAACCACTTGCACCAGGTATCCATCAAGGAGTGTTTCGGCTGTTTCAATGAAGAGTTGATCCCCAAATGGAGTCCTGTAGCTTAGTGGTTAGAGCACTCGCCTCGTAAATGAGAGGACATGGGTTTGATTCAAGTTTCCTTACTCCACACGCCTGTTTACCTAGCAGTAAGTAGGAACCCGGTTGTTAGTCGATTGGTGGATCGCTTTTCTAAAGGATAGAGGGATTAAGGGATATGGGGATAGGGCGGGTAAATGGAATTAGGTTAGATCATCCTGATCTTATTAAATGGCGGGGCAGGCTCGAGGGGCTGTTTGGCCTACTCCTGCTCCTATGGTTTTATGGTCTTTCTGGGGCTAATAATCCCTTCAAATAAATAGTCACTCAATCCAAGACTGTTTGTGGGACACTGCTGTGTGCAAACCGGCTACCGCTTTTCGCTCACAAAGTTCAGTCACTCCACTGCACAGTATATATTCTCTGAAGCACTTTGAGATGTTTAGATGATGTGATGAGGCACTATATCAAATGCAAGGATTATTACTATTATATTATAAAATATTAAGATAGATCAACATTCTGAGCAACTGGCTTGGGACTAAAGTTTCTGGATTCAGGTCACTTCATCTGTTCAGTGATGACTGGAGTATTAAATACTCAGGGGGCCCTCAACAACAACTTGCATTCAAAAGGGTAGCTTCTCGGAGCGCTCATCAGTGGCTCATTTGCAGTAAGATCAACACAAGCATTTGGTAAAATTCCTTTATGGGGCATTTTCACACCCAAGTTACCAGAATTGCACTCTCTCTTCCAATCTGCCGATTTACACAAGATACAATGAACAAATAAGTGGAGTAAATAAGAGGCACAAAGTGGCAAAACATTCAGTAAAAGAGTCTTGTACTGAGCAACGGAAGTAAACGGGTGCGTGCCTTAACAGAATAAACTTTACAAACTGGCCACAGGATCAGGCTGCAGAGCACATCACCATCTCCACAAAAGCACATCGCTGCGTCAACCCTCTGCACTTCCACAAAATCCACCAGACTAAAGTCAAAACAGTACATTTACAAAACCTTTCAAAGCATTAATACTTCATAAAAATTGCTACTTTCCAGGATAACTTAATTTTAGCAATAAATGCTGGAAAAAGCCGTTGATTTACGTTTAACTACCAGCAAACCGAAGCTGCATCAGTAGCAGAAAAAGAAGTTGCACGTGTTCCTGTGAAGGAGTGACCGGGTTGAGTTGAGACAAGGAAGCACTGTCTTGAACCTGCAGTCTCTGCCAATCAAGTCAGGAACTTGAGGTAAAGAGCACAGGGTCTGCACCACAAAGGTTTAAGATGAAAATCACCACACAATAGGACTGTGATACCATTCTAGAAAGAACATGCATTTTGAACAGCACTTTACGTCAAAATGTCACAACAGTAATTAGTCAAGTGCAGTGACTTTTTCTGAACGCTTATACAGCACACAGCAAAACCTCACAAGCAGCTATAGGTGAACAACCCAGTTAATCTGAAGGACTGTTGGCAGGGAAACCCTTCGTTGGCAGAGGAATTCCCTTTGTTTTTCCATTAGTGTCATTGGATCTAGAACATCCAAGCAGATGGGACATCTAAGGATAACAGCTCTAACAAGACTGACACCATACAGCACAGCAAACATATATGCTGTCAAGAAATTATATCTATTTTTGTTGCTAGAAATAGAAACCTCAAGTGGGACAACAAGGTCAGCAAGACTATACTTTACCCAGTGTCTACACGTGCAAAAGGGAGTAGGAAAGCAAAAGAACCTGGGAGAAAAGGGAGCTGGGGCCTATTACAGCATACCTGGGACTACTCCACTTGAGATGATTTAATATAAAGTATAGGGTAGATTAGGGAACAAACTTGGGAACTTGATGATCTCCTTGTCTTAGCTACTGATTAAACATACAAAGCCATCCAGGCAGGTCTCAACCCAAGGGGAGCTACAATAATCTGAAAGCACGTGCCAGAGTGCAGTAAGCAGTGACAAGCAGTGAATAAGTAGCAGGGAGCGACTTCAAAGCTAGAACGGTCTGCAGTTTCTATTGCAAATCACAAGACAAAAAAAAAGCATTCATATATAAAAAGTCATCTGAACTCTATAGAGATTGTGTTTCTGCATCTAAATGCCATCAGACATACCATCTTTTAAAATGCTAAACAGCGCTATTCTAAATCAGCTGTGCCATCAGCTGTCAAGTGTTTGCAGAACATTTTTTCTGGGGAGCGTTCAGTTCAGTCTTCGCGTACTTCTTAACACATAGTAATTACAGGGTGTTGTGCTTAGCACCGTGCAGCACACAGCCCGATAAGCATGCAAACACAGATGATGTGACCTATGGTCAAGCAATCCCAAAATGTGCGCACCAAGACAACCACTGTTTTGAAGCTATTTTTTTTGGCAGAGACCGTTCAAGATTTCCATGAGGATCTGGGGAATATTGGTAAAATTCCTATTAAAATGACAACTGCAGTCCTCTCAATTCTCACGGGATAACCACGCAATAGGACCGTGACACCATCTTGGCTGGGTTTTAAAAGTGCCTGACGGGGAGAGGAAGTAAAGTGGCACCATAGTGACAAGTCATAGTATTATGATGGATCGTTTCTAAGCAGGCTTCAAAAGCTCTCACCCTCCACTAACACTGATGCTTCTTCACTGGATGGATACGGGCCCAGCGAAGATGGTTTGGAGTCCTATTTAGAGAGGCATGTAAGAGAAGGATCCAGCATCTAAACTGATGTCAGATTAACACTTGTAGCAGACAGTGATAGTTTGAGCTGGTCGAGGTAGGGGGTGGTGAAGAATCACAACCTTGCAATCCAAGCCTAGAGTCACACCATTGCAACTTTTGTCCAAAAAGGGTCTATAGTTTGTTGTACCTTTAAAAATCACCAACAGGTCTTTCACGGGACAAGCAATCCTATTGCCTCCCTTTTTGATTCCCTTTGTCCATTCTGATGTAAAGTGAAGACCATGACTTAATTCAATAATGTTAACCTTCTAGACTAGAATGCAATATTGAAGCCAGTAACTAAACACTGTGTGTGGCACCCACATACCCTACAAGCTCATACTGTACAATCATTAGCTTTGGGGAGAGGGTTGGGGAGCAGCAGAGAAACTAATAAAAACATATAGTTCTTCAAATAATCCTCATGACGCGAGTCCAAGTAAGAAACCACCAACAAAGCCGCCAGTGAGAACAATATTCTTCTTCACAAAGACAGTGACCTGTGTGGAGAACACAGAATGATTTAGTTGTTACTCACTGCTAACACACTGTACAGAGGAGGTGTCAGGGGCAGTCCACAATATTGGAGAACAAGCTTAACAGGTTCCAACTAAATTTATACAAAACTCCCAACTTTTTTCAACCAAAATGAGTAAACGTATTCCTGCAAGTGTTAAGTAACCATCAGCTTGAGACTCGAGTATAATCACAACAATCATGTTTTGAGGCAGCAAGCTTAAACCAGCAACAATAAATTTAACACTTACAGAGTGTTACTAACACATACAGATGGTGATACGTTTAGATATGAATGATTAATTCTAGTGCTAAAATCTAGAGCTGGTGTATTGCTGGGTTTATACCACATATTAACTGGCTGTTCTGCTCCAGCTGTAGAAAGGTGACCCGAAGCAAAAAGGTGCTGTCTCCCTTTCAGCCTCTTCCACCCTTGCCGCCCACTGCTAAAGGCTAAACAGACAGCACTTTTTCATTCTGTGGACTTGCTTTCATTGCAGTGAATTACACAGACCATCATTATAGCATGGCAACAGGCCATTCAGCCCACCTAGTCCATGTCAGTGTTAATACTCCACCTTTCCTCATGCACTTTCCAGGCCTCTGTTCCCTTCTTCACGTATAGAGAATGTTTGATTTGTTTCAGATAGACCTGCTATTATCAGACAGACCATTTTGGAATTAGATCTGGACACTAGGTTATTCCAAACACACAGTAAGTGAATCAGATGGTTATTTGAAACCATCTTTATGGATAGTAGAAGATTATATCCCGGTGTAAAGGTAATCACTCTAGCTTTGGTTTAAAAGGTCAACTTACATTAAATCAAAATTTAAATATTCAGTTCCTATTAAAGGAGCAGCAATTTTAAAGCCAAGGAAGGCCTGAGAATGGTTAGATATGTGGGTATCTCTGTCTACGCTGTTTAAACTCTTTAGTGGAATAGAACTAGCATGATCTACAGCTGATCTGACCGACTGCACACTGTTGTATATGTACCTCTTCCAGGACGCCATGTACTTCCGAGGGTATCTTATTCTTGCCAATCTTCAACTGTTTCTTCGCCTTGTTTACGTCTCTCTCCACTCGCTTCCAGTCAACAGTGATGTACCCCGTGTGATTGGCCACCTGAAAGGAAACCCGTGAAAATCAGACTTCACCTTTGCAATGAGCCCCAAGAAATACATCCACAGCACATCATATTTCAACACATAATGCACCATGTGAGCTAGGAATAGGCATGTGCTCAATTGGCTCTCAAGCATGATGGCAGTGAGGATAGGAGGGCTGCTACAGTTGGCCATGGCAGCTCGAGGATGGGGAAGACAGAGAAATATCAGTCATTCCCCCCTTCCAAGTTATGAGGAGTTTTGATAGAGTAAATAAGGAGAAAAAGTTTCCTCTGGGAGGTGGGTCGGTAACCAGAGGATACAGATTTAAGATATTCTGAAAGAACCAGAGGGGAGATGATTAGAATTTTTTTCTTTTTTACGTAGTGTGTAGTTACGATCTGGAATGCACTGCCTGAAAGGGTGGTGGAAGCAGATTCTATAATAACTTTCAACAGGGAATTGGATATTTACTTGAAAAGGAAAAAAAAATGGTAACGTTATGGGGAAAGTGTGGGGAAGTGGGGCTGATTGGGTAGCACTTTCAAAGAGCTCGATAGGCCAAATGGCCTCCTTCTGTGCTGTAGGATTTTTTGATTCTATGATTCAAAGTTGGAATTGAACTCTGGAAGAGAGATGCTCACTGTCTGGATCCCACGTATGAAAAGATCTCACTTGCAGAGCAGAGCAAGAAGTCACAGTTATACTATGTGTCACATTGTATTGATTGGGGACGATCATGAAAAATTAAGCTCTCGCACTGAACTCAAGACACCGAACCGTAGCTATAAACACCAAACAAAATAAATGGTCAGGAAAGCTCTTGGGCTGCCCATTTGAGCAGTATTTAAGAGCTCATTTAAGAGTTTGTAAATTAACGAGATGGCTTGCAGATAACAGTAAAACACAATCAACCACAACAGCAAATTACATTTATGTAACGTCTTTCACATCTGAAAGAGGAAATGCACACACATTATTTAGATTTTTGAAGGCTTAAATGTTTCGATTCCCCAACTCCTCGACCCCAACACAGATTACTTCAAATACGTCCGACTTTGTTACCTAATGTACTGTTCCATCAATGCTCTCAGCAAACTCTCACCTGTAGCATGAAGAAGCCTCCGCCCACCGCTGTCGCAGCCAGCTTTCCCACCTTCTTAAACAGGAAGCCTGCACACCTGCGGGGGAGAGCGGGTTAGAGAGATTGCACAATTCACAGCTCCATTTCGTAACGGTCACAGAGACAAGGCTGGGGCCGGAGGGGAAGAAACAGTGAATGCGCGAGAACTAAAATAAGTGGGGAAAAAAAGTAGATTTCTCCCTCTTGCAATTCCACCTCAAAAAGTGTAACAACAAGATACATTACTTACAGTGCCCTTCGCATCGGGAGGACGTCCCAAAGTGCTGGACAGTCAACGATTTGCACCCGAGCTGCCCTGCACCCTCCCGAATTCGGACCCCCAGCTCGGGTCCGAAACACTGCTTGTCCAGGGTCTTGGGACGTCCTCCCGATGTGAATGGCATTATACAAATATAATTTTTGTTGTTGGTGGGATCAGGAGGGGATGAGGGCAGGGTGGTGGGGGTAGGAGGGTGTTCAAAGGCATGGTCGAAGAGGAGGGGTATCGAGACGGGCCTTGAGGAGGTAAGGGAGTGGGTGAGGTGAAGAGACAGGGGTATGGAGTTTCAAAGGGTGGGGCAGAAGGCTGAAGGCCCGACCGCTGATGGCAACACTCTAGGCACAGTTAGGATGGGCTTGGCTGGTTGTGTGCATGGAACATTTTACAGAATTCTGAACAACTCCGAGTTGAAAGAGTTCAGATAACAGGGAGGAGAGACTGGATGTTGCAGCTGGAACATTCTCCTTCCAGCCTGACTTGTAATGCACCACTTGCCATTGTCACACTCGTCTAAAACTACTTGTGGATGATACAACATCTCCAATATAATGAGATTCCTTCCCTCCCAACATGGGACACGCAGAGCAGTCATTCAGAGCTTCACTGTTCTATCTATTAGGTCGTGAGTGAATAACCGACTTACCAGCCGCTGGCTCCTCCGATGATCAGCTGTGTCGCCACCGTATGCTTCTCGGCAATTGGACCAGAGTTTCGTCCGAAGAACCGGTTCCACCATCTCTGCCGTTTGGCATATTCAGCAACGTCCAGCACTTCAAAAATATCCTCACCCTGTCCTGCTGAGACAAGTGCAGGAAAAGACTGAGCGCCATCAACATAAACAGCTTACAGTTTTGCCTATTTTTTTCCATATAAACATCACCTCCTTCCAAACTCCTTCTTATTGAAGTGTTTAGAATTATGAAAGGGTTTGAGAAAATAACCAGTCAGCGAGGTTTTCCCTTAGTGTTCTGAGAGGACTTGACAACGACGACAAATTGCATGTATACAGCGTCTTTCACATCGGGAAGATGTCTCAAGATGCTGGAAGCTCCCTGCCCTCCACCCCTCCTGATACCAGCGCCCGAGCTGGGATCAGGAGGGGTGGAGGGCAGGGAGAGTGCAGGTAGGCGAGCTGGAACCACAATGCAGAAAAGTTTCTTCTCACAGAGAGTAATAAGAATCTGAATGCAATGCCCAGAAAGTCATAGGTAAGAAATCAGATGAGGGATTTAAATAGATGTTTTTACTTTGAAAGTAACATTTGTGTTCAAATCCCTTCACTCTTTGGCACCTCCCTACCTTTCCAACCTCCTCACTCCCCGATCCACCACCTGGCGCTTCCGCTCAACTGGCACCAACCTCCTGCTCGTCCCTCACACCCTCCGCCCTACCATCGGAGGTTGCGCTTTCAGGCACAACGCCCCAAAAACTCTGGAACACTCACCCTCAATCCCTCCACCTTGCTCCCTCCCTCTTTGCAAGTCCCACCTGAAGACCTTACTCTTCAACCGTGCTTACGACCACCTCCCCGGCTCAGAGTCAGGCTCCGCCACTATTAAGCGCTCTGAGATGTTCTTGTTATTGGATGTTTTTAGGGAGTAAAATCATTAAGGGATATTGTGAAAAGGCAGGACAAGAGATTGGAGTACATGAGTCATGGAATATTCTGTGCAAGTGGGCCTTCTGCCATTTCTAATCTTCTTGGACAAAGTTCAACTCCACATCACATTGAGGAATCAGATACTCACTGCAGGCACTTCCTACAATACCAACCCGCACAACCTTCAACGTGCCCTCCATTCTTCGCTCACAAAACGCACAATAAAAAAAACACTTCACAGTATATCCTGTGAAGCGCTTCGAGGCTTCTTGGCGACGTGAAAAAGCGCTACATCAAATGCAAGGATTATTATTATTCATGTGAGTCACACACAGAACACCAAAAATTCCACGCCTGCAGCCACTGCTTAATTCTTGAGACACTGTAATATCCTCCTGGGCATAAAGCCAGGAGCAGCCAACTAATACGTGGAGTCAGTCCGTAAGTTTACTTATTCGGTAACTATGCACAAGTTTAAATCCACACAACAGGAGGTTTACCCAGACACCAACAGAAGGCCAGGCTTGTCCTTATCATTAAGTGGATTGATCTGTCTGAATAAATAACATATTTGTTCTATTCCAGGGTCTTAACCAAGACAGCTGTTTGCCTCAACCACTGGGTTAAATGTCACAGCGAAGCAGCACAACTTGGTCTGTGTGTTCTTAAAGTAGCTTTTAATTGAGTGGCATTGCTCTGGAATGTTTGCGGGATTTCAACAGCCTGGTTAGATGACAGATGTCAGCAGCTGCTTTCCATGTACAGGGCAGGTCTGCACAGCGAGTGGCTGGGGGAAGGCAAAACACAGATTTATTTTAATAATCTTCAGCCAGTTCCAGAAGTAATTTCAAGTACGCAGGTACTTCATTCATCCCCAGAACAATTTCAGGCGGATTCCCCAGACAACAAGCCATTCTTCACTGAAGGCATCTGGTCAAGCATTGGCGGCTTGGTAGACGCTGGAGGAACCGACAAAACCATGTTCAAGCCTCTACCCTACTTCCCAAACCTCCCGCAAGCCTCCTGCTTCAGCAAACACCAGCCTGCCTCGCATCCCTCACCCAATTCGTCGCAATAACAGTAGCCAAATGTTCAGCCATTCTGCCTCCATTCCGGAGACTTTTCACTTTGCCGCTGCCTCTGCACTTTCAAAAATCCACCTTAAGACCTATTTTTTGGACTGGGCTTTTGGCCACCCCTCCCCTCCAGCTCAGACACCCAGGAAATTGTGAAGCTCTTTGTGACGTCCTTCCAACGTGAAAGGCGCTACATAAATGTAAATTGCTGCTGATGGTCTATTGTTATTCTATCCAACGTACATCTTCACAGGTCATCGATAGGAGATCGCTGACCAACAGCAGTAAATCGAGTTGATTTTGATTCCCTAGCCCTGGACACTCAGATCAGGACCCAAGTGACATCTTTAAGAGCAATTTGTTCCCTCTAACTTTGATGTGGGCCATCAAGCACATCTTGGCACATCTCTCCACACAGCTAAAACACCTATAATGTTCTCAGACTATTCAACTTGCATGAAAGGCAAAAACAACAAGACACGTTAGGCAGAATCAAAGTATCCAGAATTCAAATTAGCAATCACCATCACACGCTAACTCAACACAGGGGACTGAAGGTGGCTTTACACAATGAGCCAGAGGGATCCGTACTGATTAACAACTGTTAGACCTGCAGGGCAGTCTTGCAATGGTACCCTCAACATGGCCACATTTCAGAACTCCACCATAAACCAATTCAGCAACTTAATAATATTAATAATAATAGTAATAATCCTTGCTTTTGGTATAGCACCTTATCGGGTCATCAAGACATTTCAAAGCACTTCACAGGATATACTGGTAAAGTGGATTGACAGTGTATTTTGTTTGAAGTTGAAGTGTCAACAGGGATCCATGTTCACGGACAGCGAGATATTCCCTGTACTAACACGTATAGTTTCACCATGTTATACATACGGAGGGAGAGGCGCGGGGTCGTAACACAAAGCCACCTGGACAGAAAGAGAATACAGTACAGGTACATTGCAGGTCCAGGACATTATATTGAGATGCGTTATATCGAGGCTGCAACTGAGTATTTTCCCCATCTCTTTCCCCCGCACCTTCTGCAGCCTATTGGGCAGTGCGGGGGCCTGGGGGCTCGCTCTCTCGCCCTCGGCCAGAGCCACTCGGGGCGGAGCTGTAAACCCTGAGCTCTTGCACCCGTGGCACGACCAATATCAGTCACTGACCCCCTGGACGTGGGAATGCCCCAGAGCAATGCAACATGCACATTACTCTTTTACACAGACATAATATCTCTCTCCCACTCACTCACCCTTTCGCGCTCTCTCTCCCCCACTCACTCACCACTTCGCGCTCTCTCCCCCCCACTCACTCACTCCTTCGCGCTCTCTCCCCCACTCACTCACCCCTTCTCTCTCTCCCCCACTCACTCACCCCTTCTCTCTCTCCCCCACTCACTCACCGCTTCTCTCTCTCTCTCACCCACTCACTCACCCCATCTCTCTCTCTCTCACCCACTCACTCACCCCTTCTCTCTCTCTCCCCCACTCACTCACCCCTTCTCTCTCTCTCCCCCACTCACTCACCCCTTCGCGCTCTCCCCCACTCACTCACCCCTTCTCTCTCTCTCTCCCCCACTCACTCACCCCTTCGCGCTCTCTCTCCCCCACTCACTCACCCCTTCGCTCTCTCTCCCCCCCACTCACTCACCCCTTCGCGCTCTCTCCCCACTCACTCACCCCTTCTCTCTCTCTCTCCCCCACTCACTCATCCCTTCTCTCTCTCCTCCACTCACTCACCCCTTCTCTCTCTCCTCCACTCACTCACCCCTTCTCTCTCTCTCCCCCACTCACTCACCCCTTCGCGCTCTCTCCCCCCCACTCACTCACCCCTTCTCTCTCTCCCCCACTCACTCACCCCTTCTCTCTCTCCCCCACTCACTCACCTTCTCTCTCTCTCCCCCACTCACTCACCTTCTCTCTCTCTCCCGCACTCACTCACCTTCTCTCTCTCTCCCCCACTCACTCACCCCTTCTCTCTCTCACCCACTCACCCCTTCTCTCTCTCACCCACTCACTCACCTTCTCTCTCTCCCCCCCACTCACTCACCCCTTCGCGCTCTCTCCCCCACTCACTCACCCCTTCTCTCTCTCCCCCACCCCTTCTCTCTCTCCTCCCCACTCACTCACCTTCTCTCTCTCCCCCACTCACTCACCTTCTCTCTCCTCCCCACTCACTCACCTTCTCTCTCTCCCCCACTCACTCACCTTCTCTCTCTCTCCCACTCACTCACCTTCTCTCTCTCTCCCCCACTCACTCACCCCTTCTCTCTCTCTCACCCACTCACCCCTTCTCTCTCTCTCACCCACTCACCCCTTCTCTCTCTCCCCCACTCACTCACCTTCTCTCTCTCCCCCACTCTCACCCCTTCTCTCTCTCTCACCCACTCACCCCTTCTCTCTCTCTCACCCACTCACCCCTTCTCTCTCCCCCACTCACTCACCTTCTCTCTCTCCCCCACTCTCACCCCTTCTCTCTCTCCCCCCCACTCTCACCCCTTCTCTCTCTTGTCTCACACACTCCCTCTCTCCCTCCTGATTGAGACACGAGGGGCGGCTATAAACCCAACAGCCTATTCCCGGCTCCGGCTCCGGGCTCCCGGGGGCCAATGTAACCCCGAGGGCTGCCCCACCCCCGGGGGCTGTAGTGTAGTGACTGCCCCGCCCCGCCCTCCCCGGGGCCGGGAGGACCCGGTGCCGCCGCCTCACCTTTCTCCTGCGCCATCCCCGCTCCGCCCTCTCACCCGGAAACACTCCTCCCGCACACCGGAAATGACCTCACTCTGCCCTCCCCGGGGGGGGGCGGGGCTGCGCTTCCGGTGTTATTGGGGCGTTTTCTGGTTTATAATAATAATAATAATCCTTGCATTTGATATAGCGCTTTTCACGTCAGGAGGAAGCCCCAAAGCGCTTCACAGAACACACTGTAAAGTGAATTGACTGTATATCTGTGGGCGAACGCGGCAGCCAATTGCGCACAGCAATGTCCCACAAACAGTCGTAGATTGAAAATGACCAATTTATTATTGTTTTTGGTTTTTGGAGGGATTATTATTAGGCTCTGTGTGGAGTAAGGAAACTTGCCCAAGGTTTCGCCCTCTGCCTGGAATTGAACTCAGGTCTCTCAGGTTTATAAATGTTTCATTTAATAATAATAATAATAGTAATAGTAGGTCCTGGCATCTGATATGGGGCTTTTCACGTCTTCTCGACGTCTCAAAGCGCTTCACAGAATAGACTGTAAAGTGCAGTGACTGTGTATTTGCGGCGGCCAATTGCCCACAGCCGCGTCCCCCACAGCCGCGTCCCCCCCCACAGCCGCGTCCCCCACAGCCGCGTCCCCACCGACAGCCGCGTCCCCCCCCACAGCCGCGTCCCCCACAGCCGCGTCCCCACCCACAGCCGCGTCCCCGCCCACAGCCGCGTCCCCCACAGCCGCGTCCCCCACAGCCGCGTCCCCCACAGCCGCGTCCCCCACAGCCGCGTCCCCACCCACAGCCGCGTCCCCCACAGCCGCGTCCCCACCCTCAGCCGCGTCCCCCACAGCCGCGTCCCCCACAGCAGCGTCCCCGCCGCCGCTCCCCCACAGCCGCGTCCCCGCCCACAGCCGCGTCCCCACCCACAGCCGCGTTTGTGGTTTGTGAGGCGAGTGCTCTAACCAACGCACTACAGGACTTGAAACATTTTTGTTTTTCCCTTTGAAGATGTTTTCTGCACTGACTTAACCTGAATGCTCTGCTGCCACTCACACAATGGGTCGGATTATTATAATCCTTGCATTTGATATGGGACGCCGCCGAGTGTGGAAGGCGCAATATAAATGCAAGTTGTATTATTATCCATAGTCGTGTGACCATATTTTGCAAACCAAATCCAGGGACATTTATATNAAAAAACTGAACTCATCACAATTACTGATTCTGTCAGTTCCTGGTGAAGCAGGTTGGATTAATGGCTGTGTTCCTCTGATAAGTGTGTCTGATTTAGAACTTTATTGTTCTTGCTCAGTTCTTTGTTGCTGAATTCAAGACGGGGCAAAATTAGTTTCAGGGGCACAATAACTCATCCAGGGACAGCCTCCATAAATGGGAGACGTGTGGTCACCCTACCATAAGGAGACCACAGAATATTGAGTTAGTATTTGGTGGACTTCAGGCCACAAACGTATTTTAATTTCTGGCAAATGCTGGTGACATGATGCAGCTTAGACTCCGATACAGAGTTCAAGAAGCGACACCAAATGCAAGGCTTGTTATCATTAACTCATTGATCTGCAATCGCTGACAGCCTGACTCCGTCTGTAGCTCTCTCGGCTCTTGAGTTAGAAGGTTGTGTCTGAGTAACAGTCTAAGCTGACGTTTCAATGTGGTATTGGAGATGCAACACAACAACAACAAAATTACATTTATAGAGCGCCTTTCACGTCGGGAGGACGTCCCAAAGTGCTGAACAGTCAGGTGTCGGGGCCCGAGCATGGGGGAGGGGTGGTGTAGGGGTGAGGGAAGACAGAGAGGTGGGAGGGAGACCTAAGGCACGATCGAAGAGAAGCGTCTTGAGGCCGGCCTTGAAGGAGGCAAGGGAGGAAGCGAGGCCAAGGGATAGTGAGATGGAGTTCCAGAGTGTGGGGACAGAGAAGCTGAAAGCCCGGCCACTGATAGTAGGGCGGGTCGGGCGGGAGACATGGAGCAGAATGGAGCCCGTTGTTGAACAAAGAGAGCGGGCAGGTTGGAAGGGAGTCAGCAGGTCAGAGAGGTAGGAGGGGGCAAGGCCACGGATGACCTTAAAGGTGAGGACGAGGATCTTGAACTCGATCCTCCGGGGGATGGGGAGCCAGTGGAGTCGGGCGAGGGTGGGAGTGATGGGGTCCCGGAGCCTGGTGCGTGAGAGTACACGAGCTGAGGGGTTTTGGATGATCTGCAGCTTGTGAAGGGAAGAGTTGGGAAGGCCGATGAGGAGAGAGTTCCCGTAATCGAGCCTTGATGTGACAAATGCGTGGGTGAGGGTTTGGGCAGCCTGAGGGGTGAGGCAGTGGCAGAGTCTGGCAATGTTGCGTAGGTGGTGGTAGGCAGTGCCGGTTATGGCGCGGATGAAGGGGAGAAAGGACAGTTCAGGGTCAAACAAGATGCCCAGGTTCCTGATTGACTTAGTGAGGTTGAGGGTACAGCTGTGGAGGCTGATGCTGCCAGCGCCTTAGGTGCAGAGGCACTGGCACGAGTCAATCAAGAGGGCCTCAGTCTTGCTGCCGTTGAATTGGAGAAAGTTCGCTATCGTCCAGGACTTGATGTCGGACAGGCAGTCGGTCAGGACCCCAGTAGTCCTGGAGTTCAGGGTGGAGGCAGAAAGATAGAGTTGGGTGTCATCCGCATACATGTGGAAACTTACCCCATATCTGCGGATGATGTCACCAAGGGAGAGCATGTAGAGGGTGAAGAGGAGGGGACCGAGGACAGAGCCCTGAGGAACACCGTACAAGACAGTGTGGGGGCTGGAGGGGAAGCCGTTTGCCGCAACGGAATGGAAGTGGTGTGAAAGATAGGACCTGAATCAGTGAAGGACAGAACCTTGAAGGTTGAGATGGGAGGAGAGGCAGTGGAGGAGGATTGAGTGGTCTATGATGTCAAAGACGACAGAGAGGTCGAGGAGGACAAGGACGCAGAGGGAGTCCTGGTCACACATGGTCAGGAGGTCATTTGTGACCTTGACCAGAGCAGTTTCTGTGCTGTGGGCAGCACGGAAACCCGATTGGAGGGGTTCATGGAGGGAGTGGGAGGAAAGAGCAAAGCGGGGAGACAACGGCTCTCTCAAGGATGTTGAATAAGAAAGGGAGATTTGAGATGGGCCAGTAGCTGGATATGATGGGTTAAGGGAAGGTTTCTTCAGGGTGGGGGTGATAATGGCTGTTTTGAGGGGGGAAGGAACAGTGCCAGATGACAGGGAGGGGTTAATGATGTCGGCGAGTAATGGGGCAAGGAGGTGGAGCTGGGATTTAAGGAGAGGGGTGAGGATGGGGTCCAGGGAGCAGGTGGTGAGCTTCATGGAGGTTACAGTGGTGGAGACAGAGGAGGGGGTGACAGGTTCAAAGGTGTGGAAGCAGGGATGGGTAATTGTCGGATGGGTAATTGTGTGGGGTGAGGATAGGGAGGGGATGCACTAGATGCACTAGCTACAATAAGATGCACTATTAAAAGGTGCCATCTTTAAACCGAGGTACCCATCTGCCTGTTCAGGGGGACATTAAAGATCCTATTGCCACTATATGAAAAGAGAAAGGTGTTTCTCCCATAGAGCTGACCAACAATCCCCCGAATGAAAACATTGGTCATTCACTTCATTGCTGTTTGTGGGACATTACTTTAGAGCCATAAAAACTGTGTGTAAATTGACTGTTGTTTTCGTCTACCAAAAACACCTCACTCCACGGCAAATCCTGTAATGTGCTTGGAGATGCCCTCCCGACATGAAAGGGGCTTTATCAAATGCAATCTAATGTTTATTTTTAGTCACACCATTTGAGCATACATCACGCTGCAGAGAATGATACTCCGATAGGCAATTCAGTGGTGGTTTAGCAGAGACACAGCATCACAAGTTATATTTTCTATTTGTCTCTTGTCAGACCGCAGGATGTTTCTGCTTCAGACTTATTTTGGTAACAGAACTGGAACAGAAAACCATGTTATCTCTAAACAAAACAACAACAAAATTACATTTGTACAGTGCCTGTCGGGAGGATGTCCCAAGGCGCTGGAAACCTGTAGCTATTTTACAGAGCAACATAGAAAAAGAGGAGGTGCTATATCAAATGCAACGATTATTATTTTTATTATTACTGTATATTATTCTAAATGAATTACAATTTAGGATGGAATAAAGTTTTATTGTTGGGTAAATGTTACCGCGGGAGTTTGGAAGACTCCTTTACAATCCTCAACCACAAATACACATTCACTACACTTCACAGTAAAAGAGCTTGGAGATGTCCCGCAGGCGCGCTAAGGCATAAATGCAAAGATTATCAGCGCCAGTGTATCCAGGTACGAGCAGAGAGACTGATTGAGTACGTGTTGGCCGAAAAACATGGAGTTATTCCATAAGAATTCAGGAGTAAGCACTGGGGAGGAATCAGTGATGTCTATCCAGGGGAATACTCCCAATGTCTCATGGCTCAGGTCAGAAATGTCCAGCCACCAGCAACAGCACCAACAACTTGTATTTATACAGCACCCCTCACGCAGGATAGGGCCCAGTGCGCTTGACAGTGGTGGAGCATGACACCGTGCTGGGGGAGGGGGTGTTGAATGTAGGCACAGTCGAATAGGAAGGTCTTCAGGCGCAACCTGAAGGGAAGGAAGGGGCAAAGCAGAAGGATAGAGGAAGCGGGTTCTAGAGTTTCAGGGCGTAGTGGCTGAAAGCGCGGCCACCAATGGAACGGAGGGCACGAGGGACATGCAGAAGGTCGCAGCCAGTTGAGCGGAGGCAGTTGTGGGTTGGGGGGTTGGGGGGTTGGGTAAGCAGGCTGGAGAAGTAAGGAGGTGCCAGGGCATGGAGGGATTTGTAAACGAGTGTGAGGATCTTGAAATCATTCCGTATGGCAAAGTGCACGTTCCGATTCAACCAAAGAGAGTGAGAGAGGGGAGAGAGAGAGAGAACGAGGCTGGTGGTTAAAGCAAGCATCAACTGGAGACTTGTGCATATACATAGCAATGTATAGAAAGAACAAGAGTGTAACACAGGTAGAAACAGAAATAAACAATGCGCACATTAAGTGAGGGAGTTAGAAAG